TCTGTTGCTTCTTCCACTAAGGGTGCTCTGACCGACGCATGGACTGCTGATGGAGATGAAGTGACAGGTGGAGAATGACTGGAAGGCTGGAGGCGTTCCTGCTATCGTGGCGCCGCTGTGGCAAATACTGAGAGGTTCTTGAAGTTGGTGGATAACCGTGATTGCCACGTGTGGTAACCAACCCCAGAATCCTGGTAGAGAGAGACGGAATTTTGCAACGCGCCTCGTGTCATCGATGGCGGGAAAGATTGGTCTGTGACACCTGGCGATGCCAGAGGTGTTTTATCCAGGGTGTGATGAGATGTGAGTCACATTCCACGCAAGCAGCAACCGAGCACACATCGCACGTGGCATTTCGGTTCCTCCAGCATGCTGATGCCACCTCTAGCAAATGGCGAAAGTGTGGCGAAAACTAGTTACTTTCGCTGCTCCCCAACCAGCCTCAAATGGAAGTGGAAGCCTGTTCGCGAAGACTTGCGCAGCGGGGACTCTTTTTGCATGGTAACAAAAAATTGCCGAAATATCCCTTGTTTGAAGCGATGTGGGTTGTGTTGTGATGGTTCAGATGTGATGGCTTGTAAGCATCAACCGACATGGATGTGCTGGCACTGGAGTTCTCACATGCACCCTTGGAAGGTGGAGGTGCCTGTGGAAATATCACGATCTTTGTGGTTCGCTGGTGACAGGTGGCAGGGAGTTGCATGGCTCCCATACAGCTGTATTCAGTACCATAAGAAGAAAGATTCACAAAAAATAACACAATGACGTTATCGCTTGTTAATACTTCAACTTCTCATGCTATGGTGACTTAGGTAGTCTGACTTTCCCTAATCCAACTTCGTAATGTCAAAGCAGGTTACTATTTGTATCCATCTGATCCAAAGCATATTGCCTCATCTGTGATAGCAAAAATCATAGGCACGATGTCAAAACATTTGATAATTAGCGTACCACATGTGTATCCTGTTGTTGCGGAGATTGTGTTTGTGCCAATGTAGTGGCGTATATCTGCGGGAGAAAAAATTTCACGTCATGGGAACAACGCCAGCGTAGAAAAACATACCGTAAGTGGATGGACTGTATGTTCAGGTAGCCTTGATGTACAACCCCTCTGTTATGCGAAAACTGTGAAACTGTATCGATAGAAAATTCTTAGTGTTCCATTGTTGTTCAGCAACGCACTGTACCCCTGAAATCATACATTACGCAAGGATATTTAGGAGCCTGTGGGAGATTTTCGTAGCCTAGCGTTCTTGGGTGGAGCTGGGGCAGCTCTCACGGCATTGGCCTGAAGCCTGTGGTGCATTTAATGAAGATGATGACTTGTTGCGGCTTGTTGTCATTCATCCTCTCGCCTTCCTCACATGTTTCCAACAGTGTCCTTGAAGCAGCAGATTCGCCTTCGACGAAATGGCGTTTACTGTAGTAAAACGTTTTGCTCGTTCGACATACCTGTACTACACTATACTCTTTCTGGGAGAGTATAGTGTAGCTTGATTTTCTGTCTACATGCCAATTGTAACTTCGACATGCCAAAGTGTGAGTTTCAGAAATGTTGTGTATTGAACTTTGAATCTAATTATCGCTGTTCGGTCGTTGTGATTCTGTGTGTCATGTCGTGACGTGCATTGCCCCTATGGATGAGCTGGAGTCAGGGTTGCCTTGAAAAATCCGCTTCAGGCCGCGGATCTTCAGGCACCAGAGGGCACACTGGCCTGACTTTTGCACACGACGACGTGGTGATTGAGGCAGGCACAAAGCATCACCCCAAATCTTGTCATTCGGCTTCTAGGAATTTCGCCAATAGTCAGTCGGACATTGCGGTGACCAATGATCACCTCACATGGAGGCCCGGCTCTTTGACACCTAGTTCCCAAACACGACACACACGACTGACCCCCCAGACTGAGGTTGTGGCGGTGCTAGCCGACTTTCCGAGCCTGCGTTGCACCTCCGAGTGAAATCCAATCCGTACTTTGCACCTGCATCCTTCCTGCATTTCTCCCCTCCAGTCCGGGGGGTTTGCACCTCCCTGTCCGGCACAGCATCAGCGATACAGTGTATTTGAGACTAGTGGTTCGCATTGCATTCCATTCACACCTCACTTCGAGACTCTCGTTACCATAATGAGTTCACGCTAGCCCACGTTTGAATTCCCCAAAAACCCCGGTTTCTGACGTCAACGATGACGGAACAAATCTCATTTTTATAGCCACCTGATGCAATGAATGAGATCCTTTCAGCAACACGTTGCCATCTGCCCTTTCCTCCCCGGCCGACCGGACCTCCCCCATTCCGCCTCACTTTTGGCTGCTAATAAATCTGATGCGCTAGCCCAAGCGCTGTTTACGCACTGTCCGCACAATTCTATTCTGCCCCCACAATACCCCCCACCGGCCTCCCCTGGCCCAGCAAACGCGGTTTCAGCCTTTTCGCCGGTTCCTTCGGACTCATTTTCCTACCCGCGCCAATCACAGCCACAGCCAGAACACGCGCCCGACAAATCAAGTCTCTCTGGAGCCATGCTCCTCCGTAGGTTGACACCGTGGACGGAATCGACAGTCGACGCGTCAGCTCCGCCAAGAAGCGCAATGCGCGAGTCTCCCCTCCCCTGCCATCCCACTTGGACACAAAACGAACCCCGCACCTCCACAATTTCAAACCAGCCCAACCAAATAGTCCAGTGGACACCCAAGTCGTGAGACCTACAGCTTCCAGAACAGCTAGACAATCTCGTCTAAGCAGGGTCAATCTCTTCTGAGCAGAGAGACAGTCCATTCTTGAGCTGCTTCTCCACGTGGCCAGCTTGTTTAATCTGGTTTGTTGACATCCCGTCTTCCAACTACCGATAGACTTCTTTCAAGGACGACTTCAGCTCTCGCTTCTGCCGAATACGAAACCAGTTTTCTCTGCTTTCGAACGTCACCAATTTCAGTCGCACACTTCACGTGTTTCCCACACAACATTCACCAGCGGCCATGGCCTCAACTCCTATAATCCGTCCGCGTCCCACAGCGGAGCTTTTCGCACGCTACGCCTTCACAGAGACAATTGGCCAGGGTCATTTCGGAAAGGTATGGCGCTGCCTCGACCGCACGACGGGCGAGGCGCTCGCGTGCAAGCAAGTGCGCAAGACCGGCCTTTCCGACAACGACTTAGCCGACCTCGAGCGCGAAATCTCCGCAATGCAGCTGCTGCAGGGCCACCGCCACGTTCTCGCTCTCCGCGGGCTTTTCGAGGATTCTAATAATGTGTACATGATCACCGACCTGTGCACCGGGGGCGATTTGTTCGATTTGATTGCGCGCACGGGCGGGCTCGACGAAGACACCGCGGCGCGGCTATTCGCACAGATTGCACAGGGCGTGCGATGGTGCCACGTGCACCGTGTTGTGCATCGCGACATCAAGCCCGAAAATATCCTCCTCGCCAAATCCCCTTCGTCGACTTCTACACAATCCGCCGCCTCCAATACCGCCGCCAAATCCGCCTCCGCCGCCGCAGCTGACGGTCTCGACGCGTGCCTCGCGGATTTGGGCCTCGCGTTTCAACTCGCGCCGGGAACAGCTATTATCGGAGTCGCTGGGAGCGCGCCGTACGAGGCGCCCGAGGTGCTCGCACGACAGCCGTACGATTTCAGTGCCGACATCTGGTCGCTTGGCGTGCTCCTCTACTCCATGCTCGCCGCTGGTTGGCCCTCGTTCCCCAACAACCGCCGCCAACTTCGCCCAGCCGTCGATTTCGCCGACGCGCCGTGGCAAACGGTCTCTCGCGAGGCGAAAGATCTCATCCGTCGGATGCTCACCCAAGACCAGTTCGAACGTTTGGACATCCACGGCGTATTGCAGCACCCGTGGCTCGCGTCGCGCCTCGCCGCCATCAGCCAGAAGCGCAGAACCTCCGCCGCGTCCCCCGCCATTAAGACCGCCGTCCCCGCCGCTGCCGTTCCGGCGCCGCAGAAATCAGCGCAAAAGCCTCCGCACCAGCCGCGGGAGGTGGAGCGCGACGCGCGGGAGGAGTTAAAGCAGTTGAAGCAGCAACACAGGGCGCTGTGCTCGTTTGATTCGGACAACTCCGTCGACTTCGACAATCACGATTCGCTCCTCCCGGCTCTCCTCCCCGTGCCGACCGACGCAAGCTTCGCCAGGGAGTCGTGCGGAAATTCCGCCGAGGAGTGCGACGCGCAGAACCCTAAATTGCGCCTTCCGCTCGCCTCCACCGCACCTGTTCGCAGAGCCGGCAACAATAGCCGCGAAAGCAGCGCGTCTAGCTTCGACTTTGTTCCGTCGCATTCGTCGTTCTCGACTACGTCGTCCGCATCGTCCGCGTCGTCCGTGGCGGAGATCGCGCAAACTACTGGCGCCGCGGCGGCCAAGAATGTCCCAGCCTCGCACGTTGCGGCCGTCGACATTCTGGCGGCCTAAATGCTTTGAATTACGTATTTGATACTTTAGATAGGTACAGGATTTCCTTTGTATATTTAAGTATTCATATTCATTCATTGTTAATAATGCCACAAGCAAGGCAATTTGCAATACTTCTTACTTGATATCTTATTCTCGCATATCCTGTTAAAGCCGTTGGCCCAAATTGCACCAGTTATAGAAGGTTGACGAGGGGGTAGTTCAGTTTTTGGGCTCTGGCGAGAGGATCAAATTCTTTAAATTCTTAGCAACACACGGCCAAACCTCGCCTTTCCCCCCTGGTGGGAACTCGAAAGTCCCAAATTGCAGCTGCACTTTTTTCAAGTTTGGGACTCGGGCTTTAAACAGTAGCCACTTCTTAGATTCTCACATAGACACGGTAAGAACTTTCGAAGGTGGGTGCACTCCGAAAGTAGTATATCTGGCCAATCATAAAATTTCATAAAGAACCCTCTATGAAGTGAGGAAAATTATTTGAGACACGGCAATGCATGCTGCAAGCTGCTTTTCCTTCCACAAATTCCTCTCCCCTTCATACAACGAACTCCTCCGCATCCCTTTCCACCTCCTCTTCCATCACTCACTTGGCGCATGGTGGGGGCTGTCAATCGGTGTGCCACGAGGCGTATCCGCCTGAGTTGTGTCACAAGGAGTATCACGAGGCCCATCTCGTGGTGCGTCAACAGGTGTGTCAGTCGGAGTGTCAAACGGCTTGTCGAACGGTGCGTCACTAGATGTGTCACGGTGTGTGGGTGCAGTTCTCTCTCTTACCCTGCGCTGCTGCTGCGCCTCCATGCGGCTCCACCCCAGGTCAGAGAGAGGAATACCCATGGAAGCTGCCAAACCCAGCAGACACTTGTTGTAAGAGAAATCCGAGCATGCAGGAGAGGCGGGAACGGCAGGAGCAGGAGGAGAAGACGGGAGAATCGGAGGAGTGGGAATGGACGGGGGAGGAGGAGGAGGGAGTGAGGGCGGAGGAGGGGACACAGCCGGAAAGTTGGTTGGCTGGGAAGGCTGGGGTGGAGGAGAGGCAGGGAGCGTGGAAGGGGAAGCAGGGGGAAGGGAGGTAGGTAGTGCGGACGGAGACGGCCGGGAAGGGGAGGCAGGAGCGACGACAGGAGACAATCTGGAAGAGTTGTCTGCTGGCTCGTGGGATGAGTCAAGAAGGGGAGGAGGATGGACGATGGTGTCGGCAGCAGGGTGGACGATGAAGAAACAGGTGGTGTTTGGGTGGTCCGGATGATGGTCCACCTGTGGGAAGGCGGGGAAGGGGCAGGGGAAGGCATTTACGAGGCGCCATTCACAAGGTTTTAAGGAAGAAAGGTGCTGGGGTTCTCTGGACTGGACTGTGCTGGGGTCCTCTGGTCCTCGCAAAAAGGAGGAGGAAAACGCCTTCGTACCTGTGGCTGAATGCACCCAGACTCCGCACCCTCACCCACCTTAATCGCCGCCACGCCACCAGCCATGTCCCCTGCGCCCAGGGGTGGTGCTGCAGCACATGGCTCAAAAACAGCCGTGCAGCAGCACTCCAACCTGCACGCTTACCGACATTCACCCTCACCCACCCACCTTGATTGCCGCCACGCCAGCAGCCATCTTCTCCTGCGCTCTGGGGTGGTGCCGTAGCAGCTTGCTTACAACAAACTCCGAGTCCTCCCCAGATAGCGCCTCCCCCGGTTGGTACCTCACGTGCAGCAGCTCCCACGCCTGCCGCCTCACTGCCTGCAGCATGTCCATCGCATCATACCTCCCATCGCCCTCGTCACCCATGTATACCCGCACTGCCCTGCGCCTGCCTTGCTGCTGCCGCTGCTGCTGGTGTTGCTGCTCTGGCAATGCTTCGTGCTGCCCCCCGTTGTCCTCTTTGCTTCTTGCTGCACCTGCTGCTGCTCCGAGGTTACCACAGCGAACCAGGCCCCAACCTGTCTCATTAGCCTCCCCGGGATCAACTTCAGGAGTATCACCAGGTGCAGGAGCAGCAGCATCAGCATGTGCACTGGCATCAGATGCAATCAGACCAGCAGGAGGTACAGAAGTGGCTGCACTATCAGTAACAAGAGCAGCAGGTGTTTCAGCATCAGCATCAGCATCAGCATCAGCATCAGCATCAGAACGCCCCGCCTCCTTGCCTGCCTCCTCCTTCTCCTCCTTCCGCTCCCGCCAATGCTTCAGCTGCTCTGCAAGCACTCGTCTCAGGCTCACCCCTTCCGCTGTCACCTCTTGTCCCCCCTCTGCCCTCGCTTCTCCCGCCTCTGCCCTCCTATCGGCCCCTTCTGCCCTCTCTTCTGCCCCTTCTTCTGCCTTCCCTTCTGCCCATTCTTCTCCCTTCTCTACTGCCCCTACTTCTCCCCTCTCTTCTGCCCTCCCTGCCTTCCCTTCTGCCCCTCCTGCCCTCTCTGCCCCCTCTGCCCCTTCTGCCCTCTGCTCTGCTTTCTGTCCGCATCGGTCAAGGAAGACAGGCAGAGAGGAGGGGTGCAGACCCGGCAGCATGGCTGTCGGGTGCTGTGACAAGGACGAGGCCAGGGAGGCGGCCATATGTGGAGGAGGAGGGGGAAGATGAAGGGGTGGAGGAGGAGGAGAGGCGTTGGTACCTGGAGGTGGTGTGAGGGAGTCATGACGAGGTTGGAGAGGAGGAGGTGGGGGAGGAGGAGGGAGGATAGTTGACTCACGAGCCGGGAGGGGAGGAGGAGGAGGAAGGTGCGAGGGTGGAGCGTAGAAAGGCGGAGGTGGAGGAGGAGGAGGAAACAAGGCATCTCCAGACGCATTTCCTTCATTCGCCTCTCCGCCTCCCTCTCTCCGTGCACCCAAAAGCCTTCCCAGCAGGGACCCCAGAAGAAACTGTGACAGGGGCAGGTCGGTGCAGAGAAGCGGGTGGATGTGGCGGCGGGGCCGGTAGTACATGGGGTGGTCGGGCGTGTGGGAATGATTGGTCTTGCGCTTGAGATTGCGCCTGGGCTTGTGCTGGTGAGCGAGAGAGGGCGCTCCTGTGGCGCCCCATGATCCCCCACCCTCACTCTTTTTCCCCCCTGCATCGCCCCATGCTCCTCCGCCCTCACTTCTTTCCCCCACCGCTTTGCCCCATGCTCCCCCACCCTCACTCTTTCCGCCCCCTGCGCTCCCCCATGCCCCCCCACCCTCATTCGTCTTTTCCCCTGCGCTCCCCCATCCTCCTCCGCCCTCACCCGTTTCTCCTCCTCCTGCTTTCCCCCATCCACCTGCACTCTCCCCTTCTCCTCCCGCCCCCCACCCTCCCTTCTGTGCCTGATCACTGCCCCACCCTCCAACTCCTCCCTCACCCTCTCCTTCTCCTCCTGCTTTCCCCCATCCACCTGCGCTCTCCCCTTCTCCTCCCGCCCCCCAACCTCCCTTTTCCCCTTGATCGCCGCCCCACCCTCCAACTCCTCCCTCCGCATTTCCCCACCCTGCCCCTGCGCCCTCTCCCCCCTTACCACCCCCTCCTGCGGCCTCTTTCCCCCAAGCATCCCCCCCATTGCCCCACGCTCCCTCACCTTCCCCCACACCTCCCCACCCTGCCCCTGCCACCTCCTTTGCTGTATCCTCTCCTTTCCCTTTCCCCTCTCTCCCCCACCCTCCACCGCCATTCTCATTACTACCCCATCCGCCTCTCTCTTCCTTCCCAGCAGCAGCACCACCACCACCAGCACCGGAACCGTCAGCAGCAGCAGCAGCAGCATCAACCCCTGAGGCCCATCCCTCCCGCTCACCCCCCTCTCGCCCTCGCACTCTCCTGCCACCCCAAAGGGGCTCCACCGTGCCCCACCGTCCCAGCCTGAACCGCCGCCGCCCCTTCCCCCTGCCCCCCTGCCCGCCACCCCCCCCCATGCACAGCAGCTCTGCCAGCGCAGCCTCGTGCACCGCCTCCTCCTCTCCCTCCCACCTTTCCTCCTCTTCCCACCCTCCTTCCTCCTCCCTTTCTTCCACCCCTCCCTGCCCCGTTCCTTGCCCCCATCCGTGCGTATGCCTCCCCTCATGTTCCGTGCTGTCACCCCCCCAAGCACCGCCTCCTCTCCTGCTCCCCCCTCCCCCATAACCTCCCCCTCTTCTTCCTCCGCCTCTGCCCCCCTCTCCCCGTCCCCAGGATTTACCACCTTCCCCATCCCCCTCTCCCCCCCATCTTCCCCCTCGGCCCCGTCCCCTTCCCCTCCCCCGCCCACCCTGCCACCTCTCACGCCCTCCTCCCTCCCACCCTCCCTCTCCTCCTCGCTCCCCTCCTCCCTCCCCTCCTCTCTCACTGTCTTGCTCTCGCACACTCCCTCCCACTGCATCCCATCCCCCACCTTCCTTGCCCTCCCCAGTTACCTTTGCCTCGCCCCATCCGCCCTTCCCTGATTCCCCTTCTGCCTCCCCCCATCCCCCCCATGCACCTCCTTCCGCCTCCTTCTCTTTCCCCCATGCACCTCCTTCCGCCTCCTTCTCTTTCCCCCATGCACCTCCTTCCGCCTCCTTCTCTTTCCCCCATGCACCTCCTTCATTCCCCGTCGCTTTCCCCCATCCCCCTTTCTCCCCATCTGCATCTCCCCAGCCTCCTCCCTCCTTCTCTCCCTCTTTCGACCCTCCATCCCCCCATTTACCCTCCTCCCCTCCAATTCTCCCCCACCCGCCTCCCCCTCCCCCATCCCCTCCCCCTCCTCCCGTGCCCCATCCACCCCCCTCTTTCTCTCCACTAGCCCCCCACCCACCACCATCCCCTCCCCCTCCTCCCGTGCCCCATCCACCCCCTTCGTTCTCTTTATTCTTCCCCCAAGCACCACCATCACCACCCCCACACGTGCCCCAACCTCCCCCCTCTTTCTCACTGCTCTTCCCCCAAGCACCACCATCCCCTTCCTCTCCCCCCGTGCCCCAACCCCCCCTCTCTTTCTCTTCACCCTTCCCCCATGCACCACCATCCTCTCCGTCTCCACCCGTGCCCCATCCCCCCTCTCCTCCACCTCCGCTTCCTCCCCACCCACCACCATCCCCACCTCCTCCCCCCCATCCCCCATCCCCTCCTCCTCCGCTGCCCCATCCCCCATCACCAGCAACAGCAGCAGCATCCCCACCCACCCCCCAGCCACTAGCACCCCCACCGCCCCATCCACTAGCAGCAGCAGCACCACCCCACCCACCAGCACCAGCAGCTGCAGCATCAACAGCACCAGCTCTAGCAGCCGCAGCAGCAGCAGCGGCTGTAGCAGCAGGAACAGGGCCCGGAGGAGGAGGGGGAAGTGGGTCGTGGAGGATCAAATCGAAGCACGGGGCGGCGGTGCCAGCTGGCATGGGCTTGCCGGCCGCCACGCTGGCAACGACGCTCGCCAGGCTGTCAGACGCGTGCTGGATGGCTGCTGACGTGAATGTACGAACAGGGTCCTGATTTGGGAGATGGGGATGGGGGGAAGAGGAGAGGAGTTGAGTATCGTGCGGACAGGGTTCTGAATGTATTGGGGAAAAAGTGGAGTTGAGTAAAGAGAAGTGTTTAGATGCCTACTGTCTATTCTCTCTTCCCTCTCTTTTCACCCCTGATCTTTTGTGTTTGCGTCAGGACCCAGTCGTCACATTCACGTACACAGCCATCCAGTCCACGTCTGACAGCATATCCTTTCCGTGTGCGCCTGACAGGGCACCGGATGGATATGCTGTCAGACGGGCACTGGATGGCTGTGTACGTGAATGTGCTGACCGTGTCCTGAACCAAGCACGGAATATCAGGGGTGAAGTGAGAGGGGAGAGGGAAGCAGAGAGGGGTGAGGAGGAAGGGCGACTCACTTTCACACACACCCTAAGGTAGGCCAAGGAGGTGATACATATGTATACACATATATTTACACACATATTCATTAGCATACGACTCACCTTGACACATGCCCGGAGGAAGGGTGAAGAGGCAGGGTGGGAGGCGAGGGCAGCAAAGGACACGCCCTGGAGGGCGCCTGTGACAGTCATCCAGTCCGTTACCAGCGTGAGATGGCGCAGAGGCACCTTCGCCCCTGCTTCCTTCATCAGCTCACACAGACGCTGATGGGAGGGAAGGGGTTTGTGTGGGGTTGATGGAAGGAGGAAGCAGGTGCAGAGAGATGAGATTAGAGGAAGCAAATTGATGTTTCTGATGAAGGAAGTGAACAGACGATGGGATGTGCAACGAGTCAGACTTGCATATGTGAGCAGCAGAGTACGAAACGTAGCAACGCATTCGAGCACCACGATGAGATGTGGGTCCATCGTCTAGGGCATATTGGGGGGAAGCACGGAAGACTGACATTGCTTCAAAGATAGAGGACAGCCAAAAGCTGATTCATGTCCGATGCTGCCGCCCCAAAGTTCAAAAGAGACGAGGCAATAACAATCTTCTCTTTTGAGTTTTGAGGCGACAACTTCTGGCTTGAAGCGCTTCCTCTTTGCCTTCACCAATGAAACGATATCAATTCCCTTTCCCGACAAGCCCCCAGCGATGGACCCTCACCTCAACGTGGTGCTCGGTTACATCAGGATCAACCTCTTAAAGGAGAGAGAAAAGTGGTTGAAGAGGGGCGGAGAGAGGGGTGGTTACTCACGTGAAACAACACAGAGCGAACAGCTTCGATGCCAAGCGACTCTGCCACCTGCTGCAATCCCTCCGGGCGGCTCTTGGCCCAGTCGATGCCGTCACTGCAGTCAGCAGCCGCACAGGCAGCAGCGATGCCCGGCAACACCGCACGAGAGGAGGAGAGAGAAACGGCGAGGGTGAGATGTCCACCACTGCTGCTGCTGCTGTTGCTGTCGCTGCTGCTCTTGTTGTTGCTGCTGCTGTTGCTGTCGTCCCCGTCCTGCCACTGTATGTGGGCTGCGTGGATGGCTGTGCTGCCTGTATGGTTCATTCAGTTCAGTCCCACGTGGCAATCACATGCCACAAGCGCCCGGACAGACATGCAAACACATGCACACACAGAGACAGACGAGAGAAACAAACGCACAGTTGGCAACCAGATAAAACTAATCTGAAGATGGATAGCCCAGATCGCTTCACAGACTCACTCAAAACACAAAGGCCATTCTGAGTGTTGGAACAGGCTGGAGCAGATCACCTGCAACCAGTGTGTTTTTTTTTTGGGTTGATTTTGAGAATTCGCAAAATCAAAAAAAAAGAACAGGCTGGAACAGATCACCTGCAACCAGTGTGTTGAGCACACTCGGCGCAACCACATCCCCCAGTGCCTCCAAATCAAACAGCGCCCCCCACCCACCCTCCTTTTGCTGGGCGCCTTTTAGCGTTATAAGAAAGAAAATATGAAGCAGATCACCTGCAACCACTGTGCTGAGCACACTTGGCACAACCGCCTCTCTCAACGCCTCCAAATCAAACAGCGCCCCCCACCCACCCTCCTTTTGCTGGGCGCCTTTTAGCGTTATAAGAAAGAAAATATGAAGCAGATCACCTGCAACCAGTGTGCTGAGCACACTTGGCACAACCACCTCTCTCAACGCCTCCAAATCAAACAGCGCCCCCCACTTGCTCTCCTCCTCTCCTCCCTCCTCCGCCTCCTCCTCTCGCCCAGCGCCTCTCCCCTCCCGCCCTCTATCCCTACGAGCCAGGCCTTTGAGGGCAGGTCGAGCGAGCACCACGTGCACACAGGCGCCCTGGGAGGCAGAATTGGTGGGGTCACGGCAGGTTGGGAGCAGACAGCGGGACCTGGGGGGATGGGATGGGCAGGGAGAGGTGGGGCAGGGGAGAGCGGAATGCAGGGAGGTGGGGGGACGAGGAAGAAGGGAAATTTAAGTGGATCTGCGGTGCCGTTGTGCTTGTGGGGAAGAGAGCGCGAGTATGCGTTTGTGTGTGGGCAGACATGTGTGTGTGTGTGCGTGTGTGTGTGTGTGTGTGTGTGTGTGTGTGTGTGTGTGTGTGTGTGTGTGAGTGTGTGTGCAGGGGGGTTTACTCGAAACCCGCTGACACATCGATGCTGACTCAGCACTGGTGACTCAACACTGATCCACTCACCTGATGTCCACATGCATCAGATGCACTAGGTCCCCTGCCCCACACGCCTTCCCCGTCTTTTCGAAGTGCCACGTGTCCAGATGTGATTGGACAGTCGCCTTCACGGCTTGATGGATGGTGTCAGGAGGATCAGGGAAGCGAGACGCTGGCAGGCAAGCGAATGCCTTGGCTACTGCGTCCTGTGGTGAGGAAATACGACAAGGGAAACGCACTTAAAACACGGGGAGAATGCGAGGGAAACGCATGGCAAACACGGGGAAAACGCGAGGGAAACGCATGGAAAACACGGGGAAAACGCGAGGGAAACGCATGGCAGGCAGTCATCTCGCATGGCACCCTGGAAAACGCAGCAGAGGAAAACACAACCAAAGCTGGTCAGTTCATCAAACAGCCGATGGTGCACCCACCAGCACGCCTCCTCCAGTCCTGCTCCCTCCTCACTCACACCCGTGTGCGAATCCCTCTCCATCACTCCGTGTCATGCAATTACATGTATACAACACAACCTTTCTCACCTCTGACAGCCGAATGTGCACCCGCCAGCAAGCCTCCTTCACTCCTGCCCTCTCCTCCTCCCATCCTCTCCCACCCCCCCTCCTCCCGTTTCCTGCCCCTCCCTTCCCTCTCTCCCCTCCCTGTCTGTCTCTTCCTCTCTTCCTGCCCCTTCCACCTCCCCCCTGCTGCAGCCTTGCTTCTGAATCCTCCTGCTGTCTCTGCCTCTCCTTCTCCCTCTCACTCCTTGCTTTCGCTTCACTTGCTTGCACTCCCTCATCCCACCGCCTCAGCTCCCTTCTCCGGTACCTGAATGGGGAAAGTTGAGGTGGGTGGGTGTGTGGGTGGGGAGATGGGACAAGGGTGCTTATTGTCTCTCTTGCTTGCACTCCCTCATCCCACCGCCTCAGCTCCCTTCTCCGGTACCTGGGAAAGTTTGCGGTGGACTGGGGATGGGGATATGAGAGAAAGGGAACAGTGGCCAGGGGGGAAGGGAAGGGGGGGGGAGAATCTTCTTTCGCAGAAACGGAGTCATACTGAGAGGCAGACAGTTCATGATTCGACTCTGAAAACAGCTTCATCCTGCGTGAAGTAATAAAACAGATCTGTCCTTGTGACTCCAATTTTTCTTTTGTTTTGTCTTGCTCAGGAACAGACTCGTTCTGTCTTAGCTGGCTGTGCCTTCTCCACCCTGCCACTCACTTGATCATAACGCGGGGGCCTAGCTGCCTCGAGGCACCTCAGAGGTACTAGCTGCCTGCCTTTGCCTTGGCCATGCAACTCACTCGATCATGACGTGCGAGGCTAGCTGGCAGCAGCCGACCCTGTGTTGCCAGCGCCAATCGACAGTCCGCTGCTGCTGCACCAGCAGTGGCAGGAGCACTAAACCCCTTACCTGCCTATCCCTTCTAAGCCACGCTACTCACTCGATCATGACATGAGAGGCAAGCTGCCTGACACGCAGAGGCAGCAGCCGACCCTGCGTTGCCAGCGCCAACCGACAGTCAGCCGCTGCAGCAGCAGCAGCAGCAGGTAGGTGTGCAGAGCCGGCTGTGTTGTCGGTGGCAGGAGGTGTGGCATGAGCAGGGAGGAACCGCAGCAGGGCTGTCGGAGAGGAGTCAGTTGCGTAGAGAAGGCGCTGGAGGGAGAGTGTGACAAGTAGGTTGGGATAGGGGAAAGAACAAGAAGGAAGATACGAATGGATAGACTTTAAAAGCTGTGGACAAATAGTTTGGGACAGGGCATTAGAGAGGTGGAATGCAGTTGTCGATCAAATCACCCTGACTGGAAATATGGCACGTTAAAAGAATTTCCCGCACCTCTAGCCGCGCAGTGAGGGAGAAGGCGCCACCGTGCACGCCGTCATGCCCCACGTTCAGCACCATCTGTATGGCCGGTGCCGACACTGCTTGCAACACCACGAGATACAGTGATCAAGACTCATTCTCTTTCTCACCTCTAGCCGTGCAATGAGGGAGGAGGCGCCACCATGCACGCCGTCATGCCCCACGTTCAGCACCATCTGTGTGGCCAGCGCAGACTCTGCTTGCATGACCAGGACAGTGAGTGACCGCGACTCATACTAACCTCGCTCTCCCTTGCACCTCCTCTTCTCTCTTTCTCACCTCTAGCCGTGCAATGAGGGACGAGGCGCCACCATGCACGCCGTCATGGCCCACGTTGAGCACCATCTGTGTGGCCGGTGCCGACACTGCTTGCGCCGCTGCCATCCCCACTGCATCCCCTGCTTCCGCCCATGCACCCCCTTGCTCCACCACCTCACTCCTCCCACCCCGCTTCTTCCCTTCCACATTCTCCTTTCCCTTCTCCTTGCCCTTCTCGCCCACCTTGCCCTTCCCCTTTCCCTTGCCGCTCCCACTCTTTCCTTTCCCAGATTTACCTCCCCGCCTTTCCTCCTCCCTCTCCTCGCCCCCTTCCCCGCCCTCTCCCCCCTCCTCCACCCCCAACCGTCCATATGACAGTTGCACCACCATCCCTCCCTTCCCTCCCCCCCCTCTTCCTCCCACTCCTCCTCCAATCCTCGCAGACCCATCATATCCCACCACGATATCCCTAAGCGTTTCCCTCAGCTTTCTGGAAAGCTCACCCGGCCGAGCCACGCTCGTAGCCTCGGCAACCAACGCAGGCCTGGCCGAAGCTGCGGCCCGGAATAGCTCTCGAGCCGAAAGCCCCGTCAGGAGGGAGCCTCGGGCTAAGCCTAGCCCCAAGCCTTGGGAAGGGGCATGAGCAGGAGAAGAGGAATCAGCAGGGGGGTCAACAGGGGCATGAGCAGGAGAAGGGGCACCAGCAGGGGCATGAGTAGGGGAATGGATAGAGTTGGCAGGGCCTTTGATAAGTGACTGTTTTGGAGCAAAGAGCTTTAGCTGGATCGGATCGAGGACATGAGGAGCATGGGGCAGGGAGTGGGTCGGGCAGTGGGGCATCTCTGTGTGTTGCGGCTGCACCTGCTGGGCAATCACCTTGGGCGAGCCCTTGCTGCCCGCCCCCACCATCTCCCTCACCGCATTGCCCCGCGGGAACAAGGGCGAAGCACGCGAGAAGAGCGGCGGAGCAGGGGAAGGAGGAGGAGCAGAAGGGGAGTTAGAGGTGGAAGCAGGCAGGTCACGGAAAGCAGAGGAGGCACCGGCAGCAGCAGGCACTGGCAGGCCACAGGAGGCATTAGCAGCAGCACCAGTAGAGGGAAGGCCACAGAAATCTGAGAGGCCGGCACTGAAGCCGGCGATAGATGACAAATAGTTCACTGCCAGGGCCTGCACGCCCGCCAGGTGTCGCGCCGCCATTGGCGGATGGTGCTGCCAGATTGCTGCCAGCAAGCCGTCGCTGCCGCCCCTCAGCCACCGCGATTCCTCCCCCACCTCCACCTCCTCCTCTCTTTTACCCTTGCTTCCCTCCTTCCTTTCTCTTCCCTCCTTGTTACCACCTTCTCCCTCCTCACTGTCCTCCTCCCCTTCCTCATCCTCCTCCATCACCACCTTCAACCCTCCACTCTCCTCCTCACTCTTTCCCTTCTCCCTGCTCGCCCTTTCATCCCTATGCCTCCTCGCACCCCTCCCCACCCCCATGCGCCCATGCTCGTTCACAAATACCACCTCCCCCTGATGGACCCGCACGCCGCAATGGCGGTGCTGAAAGCAGAGGGAGGGCGGGATGACGGTGGAGAGCAGCTGAAGGGAGGTCCAGAGAGGAGGGGCAGGGGGAGGGGGATGGTGGCTGTTGCTGTTGCTGTTGCTGTTGCTGTTGCTGTTGCTGTGGCTGTTGCTGTTGCTGCTTGGGAGAGGGTATTTTAGAATGGCTGGTGGTGGAAGAGGAAAATAGGGATTCTTTGTTGCTGCTCCTGCTCCTGCTCCTACTCCTGCTGCTGCTGCCTTCCCTTCGTCCTCTCCTCGTGTCGTCCCCTCTGCAAGTTCCCGTCCCCACTCCTTATCATCCACAACAGCAATCACCCTTCCTCCTCCCTCACCATCCCCTCCCCCTCCCGCCCCCCCTCTCCCCCCTCTTCCACCCCTCAGTCCCCGCCTGCTTCTCCAATCCCAGCCATCCCCCTGTCCCCCTCCCCCAGTCACCATCCCCATTCCCTCCCATGCATGAAGGGCAAGCTGGGTGGCGTCTGGGCGGGAGAGGAAGAGCGATTGGGAAGAGGGGGGAGGGGAGGCGAGGAGGTGCAGACCCAGCAGCGCGTCCTGCTGAAGGGACATGACTGCTGGGTCGTGGTGGGGAGCGTGCGGGTGAGGAGAAGAGGAGGAGGAGCGGGAGGAGGAGTGGCAAGAGCAACAGGTAGAACGGGAGGAGGTAGCAGCAGCAGCAGCTGCTGCTGTGGTGGCAGCGGGACGAGCCGTCGAGGGACCAGGCGAGAGGGGAGGGGAAGGTGCAGGGGGAGAGGTAGGAGTAGGAGGCGTGAGAGTAGGAGGAGGAGAGAGTGGTGGAGGGAGGAGCGAGGGAAGGGGGAGCGATGGGAAGAGCTGTTTGTCAACAGACATGAGCTCTGCTGCCTCTGCTGCCACGGCGCTCTGCTGCACCGTGAACACATTCACCTCATCGCCATCAAAGTCCCCTGCTATCGCTGCACACACCTGCGAGGCAAGTGCGGATAGGGAAAAGGGAAGATAAGTTTGTTACCGCTGCTGCACCGTGAACACATTCACCTCATCGCCATCAAAGTCCCCTGCTATCGCTGCACACACCTGCGAGGCGAGTGCGGATAGGGAAAAGGGAAGATAAGTTTGTTACCGCTGCTGCACCGTGAACACATTCACTTGGTGATTGGTTGTTTGGAAAGGCGGGGTCCTTGTCAGCATTCCCAGAGGCATCGTTGGTGGCGATCACCCTTCATCAGCTGTGGGCGGAAAGGTGTGAAGGTGCCTTCAGGGGCTGCAAGTTCCGCACGCGGAGAGTACTGCGGAGGATTGAGTCGGCTCTCCGCATGCATGTGAATGTCTATCTGCGTGCCTCGGTGGCGAGGGTGCAGCAGCGTGGGAAGGGTCAACATGCCAGGTGGCAAAAAATGACGGAACAAGAACGCAACCTTCTGGATCGTATCAGAGTGGTGGATGGCAAAGGCTGGAAATGGACCAACAGCTTCGCGGCAATTTGGGGCAAACCACGCAGGCCCCGGATCCATGCTTGAGGATCGAATATTCTGAGGCGGGCCTCCCTGTCTCTCATGCACAGTTACGACTGTTTATGAGTTGTACACTTGTCTGTTCCGGTGTATAATTCATATAAGCAAAAAAAAAAAAAAAAAACCCTGAACACATTCACTTCGTCGCCATCAAAATCGCCTGCTATCGTTGCACACACCTGCGAGGCGGAGTGCGGATAGGGAAAAGTGAAGACAAGTTTGCAAGCTCTGCTGCACCATGTGAACACATTCACCTCGTCTCCGTCACAGTCCAATGCTCTATTGCGGCACACACCTGGGGGTTGAGCAGGAGCGCGTTGGCGGAGACAGCAGCGGGCACGCGGCGCACGCGGAACGCCATGAGGTTCTGCTTGTGCAGCGAGGGCGTGCGGTTGAGCAGCAGCCAATCGCCATCCGCCACGTGGCGCAGCACCGTCATCCCCACCATCCTCCCCCCACCACCACCATCCGCACCACCACCACCAAAACCATCACCACCATCTCCGCCAGCAGCAGCACCAGCAGCAGCAGTGACAGTGGGTGCAATGCCCGCAAGCAGGGAAGACCTCACATACGCTGCAAGGGCAGCAGATGCCCGCTCTGATGCAGAAGGTGCGCCTGGGGTAGGTAGACCTGATCCAGGTGCACCTGAGCCTGGCCCAGTTCCCACCTGCAGGCTCAAGCCTCGATCCACCCATCGGCTCAGAGTCACCTTGGTCCACTCTGGCGTGCCGCCATTGGCTGATGCTCCTCCTGTGATTCCTCCAGGAGGCTCGGAGCCAATGAGCACGCTGAACGCACCGACAGGTGGCAGGACGTGGTTGGGTGGGCGGGGAGGGCGGCGATCGGGCGAAGGGGACGGTGCAGGAGGAAAGGCTGGATCGTTGGGTGCTGTGGCCCCCCAGGTATTACCTCCTGCTGCAGTGGCAGCAGCCGGCGCTGTGCCCCAAGCCCCACCACCTGTGCCCCAGCCACCACCACTAGTACCAGCATCACCAGAACCAGCAGCAGTACTGTTGTTCCCTCCCCATCCACCAGCATTGCCACCAGCACCGGCATCATTGTTCCCCCAGCCTGAAGCACCAGCAGCAGCAGGAGCATCATCACGGGCAGCAGCAGCACCACCCCAACCACCAGCATTACCGTAAGCAGCAGTAGCCGTGGCAGTACCGTCACCACCACCCCAACCCCCGGCAGAACCACCACCACCACTCCCTCCCCAACCACCCCCACCACCGCCACCAGCAGCATCAGCATCAGCGGCAGCAGCATCACCACCATTGCCACCCCAACCACCAGCATTACCGCCGGGAGCAGCAGGAGCAGCAGGAGAAGCATCGTCATTACGACCCCAACCACCAGCAGAACCATCAGCACCGCCACTCCCCCCCCAACCACCCCCACTGGCATCATCATCAGCAGCAGCTGGGGCAGCAGCACCACCACTACCGCCACCCCAACCACCAGCTTTACCGCTAGCACCAGCAGCACCACCACCACTGTCACTACCACCCCAACCACTGGCAGAACCACCACCACCGCCACCATTCCCTCCCCAACCACCCCCACCACCCACACCAGCAGCAGCACCGTTACTACCACCCCAACCACCCGCAGAACCAACATTAACGCCATCCTTGGCAGCAGCAGCGGTATCATCACCATTAGCAGCAGTAGCATCAGCATCAGCAACACCAGCAGCATCATCACCCCATCCATTCACTGCCTCATCTCCAGGCTTCCTTGCATCTGCCTCCCCCTGCTCCCTTTCTTCCCATACCCCTTGTTCTGCCGCCTCTGCCTTGTCCTCATCCTCCTTCTCTTCCCCATCTCCCCATCCACCTTGCCTCGCTCCACCCTCCTCCCCCTTCTTCTCCTCTTCATTCACCCCTTCTCCCCACCCCCCTTGCCCTGCTCCGTCTCCCCTCTCCTCACTCTTCTCCCCCTCGTTCTTCTCACCTTCTTTCTTCTCCTCCTCAGCACTCCACCCATCCCCACTAGTACCAGCAGCAGCGGCACCACCACCACAACCCCTCCCATCAAGAGTAGCACCATCCGTGCCCCATGCACCCCCATCTCCTGCACCAGCGAAAGCATCGGAACCTGACCCACCCCCACCAGTACCACCTGCAGCAGCAGCATCGCCACCCGTCCCACCAGCAGTTGCAACATCCGTGCCCCATGCACCACCCTCACCCCCACCAGCAGCAGCATCAGCCCCCCACCCACTCCCACCAGCACCACCCCTTTCAGCAGCAGCAGCATCACCACCCCTCCCAGCAGCAGCAGGAGCATCCGTGCCCCATGCACCCCCATCTCCTCGAGCAGAAGCATCAGCTCCCCACCCTCCCCCACCACCCGCAGCAGCAGCATCACCATCCCTTCCAGCAGGAACAGCAGCAGCAGCAGCAGCAGCAGCAGCAGCAGGAGCATCCGTGCCCCATGCACCTCCTTCACCCTCACCAGCAGAAGCATCAGCACCCCAACCACCCCCACCAGCCGCACCATCACCACCAGCAGCACCCCAGCCTGCACCATCACCATCAGCAGCAGCAGCAGCAGCACCCCAGCCACCAGTGTTAGTTGCAGCAGCCGCACCCCCATCTCCACCACCCCCACCAGCACCCCAACCTGCACCAGCAGTAGCACCACCACCCCAGCCTGAATCAGCAGCACCGCCAGCACCCCAACCTGCATTAGCAGCAGCAGGCGCACCTCCATCCCCACCCGCACCAGAAGCCCAACCAGCAGCAGCACCACCGCTGCCACCACCACAGGCGTCCCCTTCTCCTCCGGTGTCCAGAGGCGGTGGGAGGGGCAGCGGGCATGGCCCTGCGTCCACACAGGCTTGCAGGAAGTCGAGGTTGAGATGAGACACAGGCTCCTGGGGAGAGAAGTGTGAGGGTTAAGGGATGAAAGAAAGGGAGGGGCATAAGCTAAAGCACCAAAGGCGAGGGCAGCACGGGCGTGCGTCCACACAGGCTTGCAGGAAGTCGAGGCAAGATGAGACACGGGCTCTTGGGGAGAGAAGTGTGAGGGTTAAGGGATGAAAGACAGGGAGGGGCATAAGCTAAAGCACGGAAGGCGAGGGCAGCACGGGCGTGCGTCCACACAGGCTTGCAGGAAGTCGAGGCAAGATGAGACACGGGCTCTTGGGGAGAGGAGAGAGAGGAAGGGGGAAACGGAAGAGAAAAATGGAAGGGAGAAAGGAAAGGGAGAAGGGAGGGGTCGGGTGCGATGGCGGCGCGGGCAGGGGAGTCGGAGCGGGCAGGGGAGACGAAGTCGGGCGGGCGGGCAAGTATTTTGCAAGGAGCTCAGCTCAGTAGTGGAGGAGCTCAGTACTTTGCAAAGAAGCTCACCTGGACGAAGAGACCAGCAGCGATGGAGTCAGGGACACCGATTTCATGCAGAGCCAGGGAGGGGTCGGGAGCGATGACGGCTCGAGCGGAGGAGTCGGAGCGCTTGCCGAGGATGGCATCGCGAATGAACCCCTTTGAGCGCGCAGAGGAGGAGGTGCTGTGGCCCTTGAAGCGCTGCTCTATGCCCAGCCCTGCCTCGTGCAGAACGGCCTGAGAGTGGTGGGGAGTGGGTGGAGGAAAGGGAAAGAGTGGGGTGGAGGGGTGCGATGTCGGGCGGAGGGATCTGCTCAGAGCCCTTGCTTGCCAACCAAGTGACATTTCAGTCGACTCAAAAGGCATGACGGCGCGGGCAGAGGACTCGGAGCGCTTGCCGACGATGGCGTCGCGGAAGAGGAGGTGCTGTGGCCCTTGAATCGCTGCTCTATGAAGAGGGGCGCACCTTGTACTGGAGGGAAAGAGGGGGTCCGCACCTGGTACTGGTTGGGGGGCCGCACGAAGTAATGCTGCAGCTCCACCTGCAGCTTCTTCAGCCGGCAGAGCGCCAGATGCAACCGCACCGCCATGCCGCCCCCCTCCTCCCCTTCCGTTCCACACCTTGCACTACAGGGGAGAAGGGGGGGCGCACCTTGTACTTGGAGGGAAAGGGTGGTTCCACACCTGGTACTGGTTGGGTGGCCGCACGAAGTAATGCTGCAGCTCCACCTGCAGCTTCTTCAGCCGGCCGAACGCCAGATGTAACCGCACCGCCATGCCGCCCCCGTCCCCCTCGGCGCCGCCAAACTGCTCCCGCCGGTGCTTGCCCTTGCCATGCACCAGTGCTCCTATCTCTGCGTTCAGCCGCACCATCGCCCTCAGCCTCACTGACAGATAGTCCTGTGTGGGGGATGGCGTGAGGGGGGGGGAAAGGGGTGCCAGGAGGAGGGGGGGAGTTATTGAACTGCTCCCACCGGCGCCTGCCCTTGCCATGCACTAAAGCCCCTATCTCTGCATTCAGCCGCATCATCGCCCTCAGCCTCACTGACGGTGACAGGTAGTCCTGTGTGGGGGTTTGGAATGGGAGGAGCTTTGCATAATTGAAGGGTGAGTATCCTCTAGCTGTCAGAGACTGATGGTGCAAGTTCTCTAGCCCTCCCCCACCCCCACCTCTACCGGCACGCGCCACCCCAACCAGCCCACACCCCCACCCCCACCCCCACCCCCACAACCAAACCCACCCCCACCCCCAGCTAAAAAAAAAACCACGATGCCCAATCCCCGACACACCTGTAGCGCAGCGCCCTCACCAGTGGCACCTCCAGTATTGCTGCATACATTCATCCATCCAATCCTCATCGCTCACCTCTTGCTTCTCGTCGTCAACCTCGGACTGGCGAACGTGGTGAGGCAGCACGGCACGGGCCATGCACCCACACCCACGATGCCAGATTCAAGGCACACCTGTTGCGCCCTCACCAGAGGCACACACCCGCCCTGCATTCTGCTTCTCCCCTGCCCTATCCTTCCCCTACGTCTCTCCGCTCATCCCATTTAACTCACCTCCTGCTTCTCGTCTTCAGCATTTTCCGACAGGCGCAGGTGGTGTGGGGGAACAGGCCACGCACCCACAATGCCAGACTCGAGGCACACCTGCAGCGCCCTCACCAGCGGCACACACGCGCCCTGGCCTGCCCCCACCTCCACCACCGCCCCCACCACGCCTGTGCCCCTCGCTGCTGTTCTCTCATTGCCTCTCGAGATGCTACCCTCCTGCCCCCCCTGCCCGCCCCCATTGGCATGTAGCGCCTTTTGTAGGACTATTTTAGTCTGTAGGCACACACAGACACATGCACGCACACAACACAATACAACACAACACAACACAACACAACACAACACAGACACACATGTTTCGAGGCGCCTCGAAACTAGACTCCTGCCCTCTCTGCACCCATTGGCATGTAGCCCCTTTTGTAGGACTATTTTAGCCTGCACACACACACAGCGCACACATGACTTTTGAGACGTCTCAACACTTGTCCTGTCTGTGCCCCTCGTTGCTATTCCCTCATCCTTCCTCTCCTGCCCTCCCTGCACGCCCCCATTGGCATGTAGCGCCTTTTGTAGGACTATTTTAGCCTGCAGGCACACACAGACAGACACATGCACGCATGCACACCCACGCGCATGCACACACACACACACACACACACACACACACACACACGCACGCACACGCCCACGCACGCCCACGCCCACGCACGCACGCACAGTCACGCACACGCGCATACACGCGCACACACGCGCGCGCGCGCACACACACACACACACACGCACGCACGCACGCACACGCACACACACACGCACACACACACACACACACAAACGCGCGCACACACACACGCGCACACACACACACGCGCACACACACACACGCGCGAACACACCCACAGCCACACAGACACACCCACACCCCCCCCCCCCCTCCCTTCCCCCACACACACACATGCATGAAGAGATGACTTCCCAAGAGAATAATCAAGAGCAGGAGGAGCACATTGATTTAGGAGGAATGACATGTGCAGAGCAGAAACCAAACAATCTGCTAGCAAAACAACACAGAAGAACAAAACCAAAACACGCTGATCAACATGAAATAATTCACGAAATGCACCATACCCAGAAGGGCGCCATCTCGAGTGGAGGGCAGCCCTTGATCTCCCCATCCCCTCCCTCCCCCCCCACCCCCATCTCTCCTCCTCCTCCTAGGCCCTCCTGGGCCAGCAGGGCCCAGAGCCCCAGAAGCAGCTTGTCCTGCCTGCAGGGACGCAGCCACAGAAAGCAGTTGGCAGTCGCATCGGCTGCTGATGCTGTATGTGTGCCGCCGTCCTTGCCCCAGGCGTCCACCACTTGGTACCAGGAGCGACGCTGGTGAGGGTGGAGAGGGGCGGAAGGAGAAGGAGTGGACGGGTATCAGCTTTGAACTGGTAGCATTGAACTAGCATCAGCATTTATCTAGCATTAAAATGACATCATCATTATAGAACTAGTAAGCAGCGCTACTAACCTGGCACCATACACATTCATCCTCCAAGGTCTTCTTCTTCTCATTCTCCACATCCCCCTTTCTCCTCTCCTTGCTCCCATCCACGGCTTCCCCTGCGCTGTAGCCCTTCTCGCCCCGTCTCCTCTTGAATTTTCCCGTCCTCCCAACCGCCCCCTTCCCCTTCCGCTTCTCCCCCACTGCCTCCCATCTCTCACCCTCACCCACGGCATCTCCCCCGCCAATCCCAACTCCCCCTTTCGCCTCAAACTCCAGAGACTCCTGCATCCTGCTATGCTTGAGCAGGTCCCTCTCTAACTCCTCGTCCTCTTCCTCTTCTTCCTCTTCCGCCTCTTCCTCCTCTGCCCCCTCCTCCCTTCCGCCCTCCTCTCCTGCCCTCCCTGCTCTCTCTGCTCCCTCCTCTCTCCTCTCCTCCTCCTCCGCCTCTCTCGCTGCAGCTGCATCCCCCGCATCCTCCCATCCCTCCTCACCCCCACCCCCATCCTCATCACCCTCCTCGTCCCCATCTCCTCCATGCTCCCCGTCCGCCCCAACATTCACCCCTCTCTCCCCAACCCTTCTCCTCTCCAATTTCCTCGCCTGCAATTCCAGCCTCTGCTGCTCCTCCTCCATCCGCCTCTCCTCTTCCTCCTCCTCCTTTTCCTCATCCTCCCCCGCCTCCTCCTGCTCCTTCCCTCCCGCCTCCTCCTCTTCCTCAGTCTCACTCTCACTAGACCCACCTTCCTCCTCCCCTCCCCTCTCCACCCCATCATCAGCACCCCAAACACCATCCTCCCTCTTCCCCTTCCCTCTCCCTCGCCCTCCCCTTTTCCTCCTCTTCTTCGGGCTCTTCTTCCCCTCTGCAGCCATTTTCTCCCTCACTTCCGCCGCCCGCCTCTCATCTTCCACCACAACAGCCGGCCGGTGTAGAGCCTCTCTCGGTCGCATGCTGTAACGATACGCTCCCGCCCGCCCCACGTTTTCGGAATCTTTAGACCCCATATCTGCCTGGCCCACCTCTCTGCTCGTCTCCCCTCCCCCATGCCCTGCGTCCTTTCCGTCTCCCGCTTCCTCTCCCCCCTTCCCCCCACCCTCTGCCCTCTCTCGCTCTCCTTCTCCTGCCTGTTGCCATCGTCGCCTCCTTTCCGCTGCATACTCCCGCCAAATCCTCCGCTGCTCCTCCTTCGATACAAAACTCTTTCTAGGACTCTTCTTAGGACTCTTCTTGGGACTCTTTTTGGGGAATTTCTTTGAACCCTTCTCCCAATTCCTGTCTCCATCTCCTCCTGAGGCAGACACACTCTCACCACCAGACACCTCCACCACATCATCCTCACTCTCAGAGGCGTGAGAACCCCCAACGCCCGTCCCTTTCTCCTCCTCACCCCTCTCCTGTTCACCCCTCTCCGGATGACCCTGCCCCACTTGACCCTCCACCAATTGACCCTTCTCTGAAGGACCCTTCCGTTGACCCTGACCCTCACTCCAACTCCCAGCAGGTACTCTGCTCGGACCAGCCACTGGAACCCCTTCCCCCCCCTCCCCCTCCACCGTCCTCTCGCATCCCTCCCCCTCCTCCCCCTCCCCGTTTTTCCCCTCCCCCACTTCCCACTCCTCCACTTCCCACTCCTCCACCTCCCCCTCCTCCCACTCCTCTTCGTCCTCATCAAACGGCCCCCCCTTTCCCTTACTTCCCGGCCCCGCTTTGCCCCATTCTCCCCACTCCCTTTCGCCCTCCTCCACTACCTTCTCCTTCCCCTTCCACTGACCCTTCTCATTCCTTTCACCCTTCCACTTCCCTTCACCCTTCCCCTTCCCCTCTCTCCTGCCACTCACGCTCCCACGCCTGCTGCCTCTGTGCATCCCATCTACCGCCCCCCTCTTGCCCCGAACAGCACCATCGTCGTCACCATCATTCTTATCATTCTCATCATCATTGTCGTCGTCTGAAAGAGTTGCCAGCATTCGCCTGGCGCCCTGAAGCACAGTGAGGGCGCAGAGAGGCAGTGGCACAGTGGTACAGAAGAAGGCAGACGCGGAAAAGGTTCACGTGTGGGACCATAAGGATACGGGTTCGGACGATGATGCAAGAACGTGAAAGGCTTGCAAAGGGGGCTGTACTGGCTTAGCGAATGTATCTGCATAAGGTTCATGAGAGGGGGGATGTCCTGAGAATATAGAGAAAGTGGAAACCAAGGGGGGTGATACCGTGATAGGCACATGAGAAAGGTGCACCGGGAGGGAGGGAGGCGGCTTACTGGGCCAATGAAGCCAGCTGATCGGCATTTGCTGCGGAAGGCAAGTGGCATGTCCTTGTCATTGTCATCTGCATCATCTCCCTTGATCAGCCTCTGCGTCGACCCAACTGCATCACCCTCCTCCTCATCATCATCATCCTCATCCTCGCTCTGAGAGTCAGAGTCCACAAGCGACACCACCTCATGACTTCTCATACCTTCTCCCCCATCGCCCATCGCCCCATTCTCCCTCTTTCCACCATCGCCTACTGCCTCGCCCTCTCCTCCCACACCCTCCATCTCCCCCTCTCTCGCTGCTCGCTGAGCATTCTCCCTTGCAGCAGCAAGCCCAGCCCCCTCACCCTTCTCCCTCTCTACCTCCTCGCTCGTCCCTCCCACTCCGTGCTCCTCGCTCTTATCCCTCCCTCTCTCCTCCTCACTCTCCTCCCTCTCCCCACTCAGTCTGCTCTCTGTGGCTAGATCCGGGGCACCAGAGGAAGATGCTTCTGCACCGTCTGCTCCTGCTGCCTTTTCTTCTCCCACTGCTGCTGATGCTGCATTAACTTCCACTGCTGCTGCTCCATCCGCTGCCACTGCTACTGCAGCTGCTTCACCTCCTTCCACTGCTGTCTTCTTATCCCCTTCAGCGTCTCTTGCTATATCATGTCCTGCCGCTGCTGCTGCTGCTGCTGCCGCCGCTGCTGCTGGTGCTGCTGACGATCCTGCCTGAACGTCGTCGCTCTTCCCTTTCCCCTTCTCCCTATCCCCCCCTTCCCGCACTCTCCCTTTCCTCCTCCTCTCCTCCCCCTCGGTCACCCGATGACGCTTCTTCACTGCTCCCTGACTCGTTCTCCCTTTCGTTCCTGATGGAGAGTCCCAAACCAGCTGTGGGACGAGACCAAGATACAGCGCAGGGAGACATAGAGGATTTGTTACAAGACGGGAATAAAACAAAGGAACTCGTGCGATTTCAAGCAGGAAATGCACCGTGAGATAGGTACACAATCCATTGCAGAGCAGAACTAGGCAGGCAAAGTGCAGGCACGAGCGGGCAGCTGTAGACATCTGTGTATGTGTGTGGCTTCCTGTAAGAATGGAGCAGTCCTGGGCTTGGGTGTGTGCCTCTAAATCATGAATGAAGCATACCTGGGGTTGGGTGGATGAGTGGCGGAGGGAGGAGGAGGAGCAGCCTTTGCCGCAGGCAAGGCAGAAGGAGTTGAGGGTGGAGACGAGCAGAGGGCGCAGCAGTGGGTGGTACACCGGCATCTCAAAGAAAATGTGCCCGAAATGTCCTTCGGGGGGGAAGAAGCAGGAGAGTGGGGGGGAGGTGCGTGGGGGTATGGAAGGTTCGTTAAGTCACATCACGGCAGGAGACGAGCAGAGGGCGCAGCAGTGGGTGGTACAGCGGCATCTCAAAGAATATGTGCCCGAAATTACCTGCGGTTGGGAGAGGGGGAGGGGAAAGGGAGAGCGAAAGGGGTATGTTTTGAGACGTTTCAAGACCAAAATCTGGTAGCATGTGTGCGAGGCGAGGAGGGACGGGGAAGGGGAGGAGAAGGTGCATGCGCAGATGGGAGGTTCATCGAGGCAGATCACCACAGGAGCCGAGGTGCTGGACTCCTATTATTCTAACAATCTTCATAAAGGATAGCACACATGTCCTGCTCGCTCAATTATACCCATCAGCAGCCTCTGTACTCACCGGTACACGCCTGCGCGCTCTTCCCGCACGTGCCGCATTGGTTCTCCTTCGAATTTCGCACCCCCAAGAGTGGACTGCTGACGTCAGCAGGCTTGGTGCATTTGAGCACCGACCAGCGCTCCTGGAGTTTCCGGGGGGAGGGGTGGGTGGAGGCGGGAGTGTAGGGAGGAGAGGAGGGGGGAGAAGGAAGAGGAAAGACGAACCTTTCATTAAATATAAAAATCATTCAATAACCCGCCAGTCACTAAGAAACAGCGTATACCTACCTAGAGTTAGCTAGCTGGTAAGAAAATCTGGACAGGAAACTATATGCTGGAATGTTCACACTAGTAAGATAAGAACCGATTGATTCACCAGAGAGACAGAGACATACCACATCTGTCCACTTGGCATGCTCGAACGTGAGGCTTTCAACGTGATCTGCCATGGGAAGCAGTTGCCTGAGGGGCTTATGCTGACAAGAGGTTTGCAGCGTGGCTGGTAAGGGGAAAGGTCGATGGAGAAGGGGAAGAACAAGCAGATCAAAAGACGGGAGGAGGAACAGAGTGAAGGGAGGGGGAAAAACGGGGGGGCGAGGGAGTGTGGATGCCGGCGGCTATTGGCGGCGGAAGGAGAGGGTGTGACGGGGAGGGGGAAAGAGGACGACGGGGAGGAGAAAAATGGGTAGAGACTGCGATTCTGGTGCAGCATCGAGGGCAGCGCGGTTTCATAACTAAAGAGCTAAAACTTCCTAGCGGGGTACTCACTTCAGGGTAGTAACATGGGGATGTGAAAAGCCGTAGTGAGCAGAGAATTGCGCACGTTCGCGTCCGCGCTCGCGAAAGACGGAAGCTTCTTATAAAACACCCGTTTCCTACATCCAGGTCGCGAGCTAGTCCACTATTCTAATATTGCGGTCTTCGAAAATTTTGGCTCGTCTAAGGGAGTCGAGTAGCCGCAGTATGGAGTTATCCGCCTGACATGTCAAATGGGGTTTCAGAGTACCAGCGTGTCGTCTGACCACGACAGTGTTAGCTGGGGTCCCAGAATATAACTAGTTGGAACCACTTGACCCTAGCTTCGTCAGGCATCGCTGCACTTTTTTAGCTTTCTAAATGGAGGGAGACACTGCCCATACCGACGGACCACATGCAAGGTCAGGATTGAATGCCACGTGGCGTGTCTGAATCCTGAACGATGTTCAGGTGTCAGTGTAGAGCAGCTTCGGCTTCAGGCATCTCAAGTGCCTGTTTGTCAGGGATATTCTCGAGGCTCAATGTCGGGAAATAGATTCGCAACGGAAAATAAATTCAACCTGCATGGGTCTAATCCAATGTGAGATTCCCTAGGTCTACACTCATAGCGGCTCGAGTAAATCGAGGACTGACGCCTCCTGTCAGACCCATTCCCGCGTTTCAAGGAGTCACTGCTGCTCGATAGTGCCTAGGTATCGGGAATGTCGAAGCATTTGAGCCCCGATGATTCGCTATAAAGCGCTCCCGAAACGATTGTGAGCAACATTCACTACAGTGAGACGCTGGATTCGGAAATATTTGGCAAGGGTTTTTGCATGTTCGCTTCGATTTGCTTCGGAAAACTGGATTCCGATGGGTTGTGCTGCGCGAGGAACCCAACTAAACCACATCCGATGACTTGATATATACCTACTAACTGACCCACTCACCCCAGTTCGTACACGCCATCCGCTTTACTGCGTGAAGTAAAATCCACGCCAAAGTTGCTGCTTGTCGAAGAGGCCAATTCTTGCGGGACACGTTTCCCTGGCATTCCCCAGTGCTCCTGTGGTTGTGGTCTGCTGTGTCTGCCATGGTCTGCACAAGGGACTTACGTACCTTAGCACCTAGGAGTCGCTGTCCTCGCGTTCTCTCGTAAACGCGTGCAGCCACGACTGCGCCTAGACTAAGACGAGCCGACGTCCTTCGAAATGGCCGAACACATCGACGTCACGACTCTCACGCAGGAGCATTTGAACGATCTGCTGCGACAAATCCGCGAGAGCGCCGAGGAAATTGCGACGCTGACGGCAGAACGCTCGTCCCTGCAAAACGACCTCACAAGGGCACAATCCCAAGCACCTGGCACTCCGATTCAGCCCGCACCACAGACATCACAGCACGGAAGTGTGGGGCAACCCGCGAGCGCGGCCAGTGATGGCGTCGTCCGCCCCGACGGAGACGACGACCACGGCACGACACACCCCGGAGCGACGAATGCGGCCCCAAGTCAACCTCACGTCACGATTTCGGCACCGACCCACGATTCGGGACTGCCGTCACCGATGCCGCTGAAGCCGCAGCGTCCGCCATGCTTTGACCCGAGTCAACGGGGTGGTCCTACCGTTCAGGCGTGGTTGTTCACGATGAACGTGTTTTTCGACGCCAACTACGTCTCGGAGGATTCGGCGAAAATTCGCTACGCCGTGTCGCTGCTGCGAGGACCCGCCATGGACTGGTGGCGCGTCATCGTCACGAAGCCGAATGACTACGCGAATCTACCGACACGGGAAGGACAAACCGGACCCTGGGCGCCGTCGTACTTCGTGGAGGTGCCCCAATATCGCACGTGGGACGCGTGGTGCGCAGGTCTGCGCGCTCGATTTGAGCCAATTGCGGCTTCGATCGCGGCGCGACAGAAGCTCCGCACTTGGCGCCAACTCGGTTCAGTCCAGGACTACACCAGCGGGTTTCTGGCGCTATGCGAGCAAGTGGGCTACATGCATGAGAGCGAGCGCATCGACCGCTACATCGGCGGCCTGAAGCACGACATCGCTCAAGAAATTCAGCTTCGCGGCGTCACCGATTTTCAGGAGATTCTCGCTATGGCGGAGAAGCTCGACTTCTTCCGCCGACCGAGACCGGGGTCCTACGGCAGTAGCAGCAACTGGGGACATCGGTCTCGTGGGACGAACGAGGGCGCCACGATACGTGCCGTCGCCGCGAATGCCGCTGCCGCACCGTTCAAAGGGCGCTGCTTCGCGTGTAATCGGCCGGGACACCGCAAGAGCGAATGCCCGGAAAACGCTAAGGAAAAGGGGGAAGCTGAGCAGCAGAAACAGACCAAGCAGCAGGGAAACGCTGGGAGTCAGTAGCAGACGGGCCCTCTACTGACAGGTCACGCCGCTCGCCCGACCCAACCGACCCTCACCGAGTGATTGTGCCGGTTCACGCAATCGACCACACCCGGCCGAATAAGGAGGGTACTACGGTAGACAGCCCTATACTGCTTAGTGGGAAAATCGGGACGGACTTAGTTAAAATCTTCGTAGACGGGGGAGCCAGCCACAGCCTCATCAACACTGCTACAGCACGAAAACTGCGACTGCCACTGGACAGATGTTTACCTGAGATCGACGCACGACTGGTAGACGGCACGCCGCTGGCAATACGGGAACGCGTAGACCGGGTTCGGATTCGATGCGGGGGTAACTTCACATTTAGCCAAGAAATGCTCGCAACGACCCTCGACGGAACCGATATTTTACTCGGGCGTGATTGGTTGCGACGACACAATCCGCGAATCGACTGGACGACGGGTGACTGCACCGTGCGAGTGAACGGTAACCACATCGCCCTACCTCGCTGGGGCTCGCCTGAGTCTTCGTCGGTGCGTGTCAACGCGATCACGATGAAACGCGCCGTAGCGGCGGGAGCTGACGTGTACGCGGTCGACATTCGGGAAGCCGAGGCAGCAGACAAGGGAGGGGATTTGCAGAAACTGCTGACCGACGTACCGAGTGACCTGGCAGCACTGTTGAAGCAGTACAGCGACATTTTCCCGGACGACTTACCGACGGGACTGCCACCTCAGCGACCGCACGATCACAGAATAGAATTGGAACCGGGGGCACAGCCAACAGTACAGCGACAGTTCCGACTGACCCAGCCCGAACTGGACGAACTGAGGAAGCAGCTCGATTACCTGCTCGAGAAGGAGTTCATTCGCCCTAGTTCGTCGCCTTTCGCAGCACCGATACTGTTTACACCGAAAAAAGACGGGGGATTTCGCATGTGCATCGATTACAGAGCACTGAACAGGGTTACCATCAAATCCCGTTACCCCATCCCACGAGCCGACGAACTGATCGACCAACTGCGCACAGCCCGGGTTTTCTCGAAAATCGACCTCCGGGGGGGTTACCATCAGATTCGTGTCAATCCGCCCGACTGCCCTAAAACCGCATTCCGAACACGCTACGGATCCTTCGAATACACCGTCATGCCCTTCGGACTGACCAACGCCCCCGCCACTTTCCAAATGACCATGAACGAAGCTTTCCGCCCACTCTTAGATAAGTGCGTCATAGTATATCTGGACGACATACTGATTTACAGCCCTGACAGAGCACAGCACTTACAGGACATCGAAGCAGTTTTTAAAATACTGAGTGAGAACCGCCTACTGACAAAAGCGTCTAAGTGTGAATTTTTACAGGACCGTCTGGAGTTTTTGGGACACGTTATTTCAGCCGCAGGAGTGGAAATAGATGTGAGAGAAGTAGGTAGAGTTAGGTGGGCTTGGGAGCCATAGCTTAGGAGCCTTGGTAGTTAAGTTCGAGGGTGAGGAGAGTGTCGAGAAAGTTGTGAAGGGGAATGAGGGTTTCACTATAGGTTCAAGGGTACAAATATGAAAGAAGTGAAGCAAGGTGCACCACCTAACAAGCAAGGTAACTACACTAAGTCTACATTGCAGGCAGTTATAAAGTGATGTATACAATAACATTCTGACATACCCCCTAACTGCCTGCAGTGAAGAACCATGTGCAGAAACACCCCCGGAAGGGGTACACCAAGTAGAGCGCAGCAGACAGAGAGGGCAAATGAGGAGGAGAGACTGTGGAGGAAGAGAAGATGCGAGGCAACGACTGAAGCTGCAGAGGCACGGGCACAGGAGCGGCTGACTCAGTGGCTACCGAAGCAAGGGCGACGGACTACTGGAGTGACTGGCTCCGCGGCTATAGACGAGCGGCAGGAGCAACGGACCCACTGGCGACTGGTGCAACAGGCTCACTGGCTACCGAAGCAAGGGCGACGGACTACAGGCGCTGCAGGCGACACGACAGCTACCTTCACACAACCTCCCCCAGCTGCCCCACTCCCCTCTCACACACTCCCTGTTCAAACCCTAGCTCCACTCCCACAGCACCCCCCTTAAACCCTAAACCCTAGGCTCCCACACACCCACCCCCCTCAGCGACAGCTGCAGCAGTGGGAGACGAGGGAGGAGGAGGAGCAAGGGGAGGAACACATAACCGCCACCCCCACACCCGCCACCCCCATGCTCGGCACCCCACACCCCCAGCTGCAGTTGCTGGCTGCTCCAGGGGCGGCTGCTGCAGGTGCGGGCTGCTCCAGGGGCGGCTGCTGCGGTTGAGGGCTGCTCCAGGGGCGGCTGCTGCAGGTGCAGGCTGCTCCAGGGGCGGCTGCTACAGTTGCGGGCTGCTCCAGGGGCGGCTGCTGCAGGTGCGGGCTGCTCCAGGGGCGGCTGCTGCGGTTGAGGGCTGCTCCAGGGGCGGCTGCTGCAGGTGCAGGCTGCTCCAGGGGCGGCTGCTGCAGTTGCGGGCTGCTCCAGGGGCGGCTGCTGCAGGGGCGGCCGCTTCAGGGGCGGCTGCTGCAGGGGTAGCGGCTGCTGGGGCGGCTGCTGCAGTGGCGGCTGCTCCAGGGGCTGCTGCTGCAGTGGTGGCTCCAGGGGCGGCTGCTCCAGGGGCGGCTGCTGCAGCGGCGGTTGCTCCAGGGGCGGCTGCTGCTGGGGCGGCTGCTCCAGGGGCTGCTGCTGCAGTGGCGGCTCCAGGGGCGGCTGCTGCAGTGACGGCTGCTCCAGGGGCGGCGGCTCCAGGGGCGGCTGCTGCAGCGGCGGCTGCTCCAGGGGCGGCTGCTGCTGGGGCGGCTGCTGCTGGGGTGGCTGCTCCAGGGGCGGCTGCTGTTGCAAGGCAGGCCCGCGCGCTGCTGCAAAGCAGGCACGGGCGCAAGGGAGGCAGAGGCGGCGGCCAGGGGGGGGTGCGCCGCAACGAGCAGGTGACAGGGCCACAAGGGGTGGCAACGGAGCCGCTAGGGGCGGCAACGGGGCCGCGAAGAGCGGCGACGGGGCCGCTAGGGGCGGCAACGGGGCCGCTAAAGGCGGCGACGGTGCCGAGATGGGGCGGCGACAGGGCCGCGAAGTGTGGCGACGGGGCCACCGAGGGTAGCGCGAGGGGCCGTGAGAGGAGCAGCGACGGGGCCGCGAAGAGGCCGTGAGGGGCCGAGAAGGGCGGCGTCCGCGCGTCCGGGGCGCACGGCGTGCGGAGAACCGCCACGCGCCCCGAGCGCGTGGCGGGAAGAAAAAAGTGTCGCGCGCCACGGGGCGCGCGACAGAAAAGAAAGCAGCGGAAGCACGTGGGGCCCACAGGCCAAGAGCGTAGTCGCTCTGATTCCATGTGAGAGAAGTAGGTAGAGTTAGGTGGGCTTGGGAGCCATAGCTTAGGAGCCTTGGTAGTTAAGTTCGAGGGTGAGGAGAGTGTCGAGAAAGTTGTGAAGGGGAATGAGGGTTTCACTATAGGTTCAAGGGTACAAATATGAAAGAAGTGAAGCAAGGTGCACCACCTAACAAGCAAGGTAACTACACTAAGTCTACATTGCAGGCAGTTATAAAGTGATGTATACAATAACATTCTGACAATAGACCCGAAGAAAATTGCGACGATTCAGGCGTGGCACACGCCGACCAACTTGACAGAGTTGCAGAGTTTTCTGGGGTTCGTCAACTACGTGCGCCGGTTCGTCCCCGACATGGCGAAGCTGACTGCCCCGTTGACTGACTTGCTGAGGAAGGGGGTTGAGTACACGTGGGGGGAGAAAGAGCAAGCTGCCTTCTCGGCCCTCAAAAACATGTTGTGCTCACCGCGCGTGCTTCACATCGCCGATCCACACCGTCCGTTCGAGCTCGTCACTGACGCAAGTGACATCGCTGTGGGAGCAGTACTGTTGCAGGATTTCGGGAACGGCCTCCAGCCAATCGCGTACGAGTCCCGCAAACTGCACCCGCCCGAACGCAACTACCCGATACACGACCGCGAAATGTTGGCAATCGTGCACGCGTTCAAGGTTTGGCGGTGTTACCTGACTGGCGCCGACGTGACAGTACGGACAGACCACCGATCACTACAGTACTTACGCGCCCAACCAAATCTCAATCCGCGACAAATTCGCTGGCTGGACTACCTCGAGTCCAACTTCCACTACACGGTTACGTACAAGAAAGGCGCATCCAACATCGCCGACGCACTCACCCGCCCTACCGCCCAACTCCACGCCATCCTACTCGCCTAGACCAACCCGCTGTTAACAGGCCTCTTCACCCACGGATACCGCACCGACCCATTTTTCACGACTGGAAACTCACAGCAACTGGCAGAAGCTAAAGGAGTTTATTACGTAAAAACAGGCACCAACCGCATCTGGGTACCTGCGTACTCACTACTGAGGGAGCTGCTACTGCAGGAGGCACACGACGGAATTACCTCGGGACACTTTGGGGTAGAAAAAACGCGACAGCAACTGCAGCGGTATTATTACTGGCTGGAGCTGTTGACCGACGTACAGCAGCACGTGGGCTCGTGCCCCACGTGTCAGGTGATGAAGAGCTCGAGGAAGCTTAAGGCGGGTCAATTGCAGCCGATACCACCGCCCGAGCGCGCCTGGCAGCAGGTTACCATGGACTTCGTCACAGGATTACCTTCGAACCCTGGGGGTAACGACGCGGTGATGGTCGTCGTTGACAGGCTGACGAAGATGGCACACTTCGCTGCGTGCAAAAAGTCGATCTCAGCCGAGGAGACCGCTCGTCTGTTCATCGCAGCCGTTGTTCGCCTGCACGGGATACCAGCAGCGATTATCAGCGACAGGGACACGAAGTTTACCAGCAACTTCTGGAAAAACCTCTGGGAGCAGTTCGGGACCAGGCTACAGTTCAGTTCGTCGTACCACCCCGAGACCGACGGCCAAACGGAGCGGACGAATCAGACGATGGAGCAGTTGATTCGTGCCACGTGCGACGACCCCACGACTTGGGAACAGCAGCTGCCGCTGATCGAGTTCGCGTACAACAACGCCACGTCAGCGACGACGCAGCAGTCCCCCTTCTACCTGAACTACGGGCAAAATCCTACAGTGCCCATGACGCCGAGTCCGGAATCCGACACCACGTGCACAACAATTCGCCGAAATTCTGCAAGCTGCCCGCACCAGAGCTGCAGAAGCAATTAAAAAAACAAATGTCATCGCTAAGCGCAACGCCGACCGCCACCGCCGACCCGTCACCTACCAGTCAGGGGATTACGTACTGCTCGACACGCAAAACCTGCGACTGCCCGACGTACCAAAACTGCGACCGCGCTACTGTGGCCCATTCCAAATCAGCCACATGATCACGCCAGTAACCGCGCACCTACTGTTACCGACCGACTGGTACATCAGCCCTTCGTTCCACGTCAGCTTGCTTCGCTCATACATCCCAACCACAAGCCAATTGCCTCGCCACCGCCCGCCATCTATGACTCGCCCTGCATCAGAGCCGATCATCGAGCCCGAAAAAATCCTGAGCCATCGGATTCGACACCCCACTGGAATCAAGAGGATTGAATTCCTCGTTCGCTGGAAGGACCGCACGCCAACTGAGGATAGCTGGGTGCCCCTGGCCAACATTGAAAACCACCCTGCCCTGCAAGTGTACCTGAGGAGCCGGGGATTCCGCGACATACACGCACTCGCGTAGCGGAGGGGGCTTCTTGAGGGGGGGGGGGTAGTGTAAGGAATTTTCTCGGCATTCCTTACGGAGCCCGACTACATCGCGTACAGCAACAGCCGTTGTTCGCCCGTTACTGCTAACGGAACTTCGCCGACTTCGCGCGCACTGTTTCACCAAACCTCGCACTGCTGGCCCGGCCGTGTCGGCCTACGCTTCGGGACTAGCCCGAGCCTCGCTGCCAGCATAGCACTGGCTAGCTCGCACGCACCGCGTTACCGTTTGCATGCTTCGCATATAAATGTTCGCTCATGCCTTCGCTCACATCTTTGTACTCGTTTGACACCTTAGTGCAATTCTCGCTACTTCGATTCATTGCACCCGTAACAGGAACCCAACTAAACCACATCCGATGACTTGATATATACCTACTAATTGACCCACTCACCCCAGTTCGTACACGCCATCCGCTTTACTGCGTGAAGTAAAATCCACGCCAAAGTTGCTGCTTGTCGAGGAGGCCAATTCTTGCGGGACACGTTTCCCTGGCATTCCCCAGTGCCCCTGTGGTTGTGGTCTGCTGTGTCTGCCATGGTCTGCACTTCCAAATTCAAAGCTTCATGTTCAGCCAGTTCATTCAGCGTTCCTCATTCCGTAATCAGAATTCTTTCCGCTTTCATCGTAGGTCTCTCGCACTGACGAATTACGAGTGTGCATTACGCGTAGGTTCTGTTTACCGTTTACCGACTGCCGGATTGTTGACGGCGAGGCAACCATAGCTTCTTGTAACGCTCATTCTCACATGGTCAGCAACCATAGCTTCTTGTAACGCTCATTCTCACATGGTAAGCAACCATAGCTTCTTGTAACGCTCATTCTCACATGGTCAGCAACCATAGCTTCTTGTAACGCTCATTCTCACATGGTCAGCAACCATAGCCCATCAGCTCGTGTTCACAAACTCGTGTTCCGCCGCCAATAGCCGCCGTCACTCATTCAAGTCGAGAACATTGCGCTTACTTGTACATATTCTCTCAATCTCGTCGCTTTTCCTTACGCCTCGGACTAGCTAGTGATCGCATTGAACAATAATCGAGTTTTGGGACCTCTCAGCGTTCGCAAGCCATCGCCTTGGTGCAATAAGGCCATAATGAGCACGGAAACGCTCGCTGCTCCTCCACCAACTGCTTCCGGTTCTAACGCCGCCAGCCAGAAAATGCCAGCGATGGGATTCGAAGAGCGGCTCAGGCGCATGTGTGATCGAGCCAGGCAGATTGACGAGGCGGCGGGGAAGGGCATGTCTGACAGCGAGAAGCAGCAATGCCTGGAGGAGCAGAGGGAGGAGGTGAGATGAGGCTGAGAGGGGTGAGATGAGGCTGAGAGGGGTGAGATGAGGCTGAGAGGGGTGAGATGAGGCTGAGAGGGGTGAGATGAGGCTGAGAGGGGTGAGATGAGGCTGAGAGGGGTGAGATGAGGCTGAGAGGGGTGAGATGAGGCTGAGAGGGGTGAGATGAGGCTGAGAGGGGTGAGATGAGGCTGAGAGGGGTGAGATGAGGCTGAGAGGGGTGAGATGAGGCTGAGAGGGGTGAGATGAGGCTGAGAGGGGTGAGATGAGGCTGAGAGGGGTGAGATGAGGCTGAGAGGGGTGAGATGAGGCTGATAGGAGTGACATGAGGCTGAAGCGAACGGTGAGTTGGAGCAGGTCCTGGCATCTTCGCCCTAACAGCACGCTCTCCCTAGCCTAACTACGCAATTCTCCTTCCGCATTTTCCCCACCCAACCCATTTATCAACCTTCAATTCGACCATCCTTTTTAACCATCCATTCATTCGTCCAGTCAACCATTCATCCTTACATCCACGTGCCCATGCCCCGCACCAGGTGGAGGCTCTTCAGTCCGTTTTCGACTCTGACTTTGAGCCCATTGGGCTCGCATCCTCCTCCTCCCCTTGAGTCAACTCAAAAGTAACCCTGTTATTCATGCCCCTCGCCTCACCACACCAGGTCGAAGCTCTGCGGTCCATTTTTGACTCCGACTTTGAGCCCATTTGGCTCGCATCCTCCTCCTCCTCCTCCCCGTCCTCACCCACCTCCTCCTCTGCTCCCGAAGAGGCGGCCGCCTCGAGTTTCACAACCTCGCCGTACAACTGCGTCATGGTACGAGATGTTAAGTTTTTTTGTTTTAGGTGCCTCAAACGTTTCACAGCGTCGCCTTACAACTGCTTCATGGTACGAGATGTTCAGAAATATCAAACGCCGCGGCATATAGCAGTTACATGGTGCGAGATCAGTTGGTTTTTGTTGCAATGCGCAATACCTGTACCCATTCGCTAATTTATTGTTATGGCCATCATGAGAGGGGAAGAGATGTACTCGCCTCCTGAAACATGTAGATGCTTTTTATTTTTTCTTTTTCCTCTCTCCTTTGGTTCTTTTTACATAGAAACCTTTCTCTCATCGCTTTCCTTGCTTTTCTTTGTGTCAACTTTCTATCCCTTCCCCATCCCATCCAGATTGACATCCGCATCACAATACCCTCGCCCATGCTCGTGGTCCCCTCGCCTCCTTCTGCCACTGCTTCCTCTTCCTCGACCTCTTCTTTCAACCCCTCGTCCTCCTCCTCCTCCTCCTCCTCCTCCTCCTCCTCCTCCTCCTCCTCCTCCTCCTCCTCCTCCTCCTCCTCCTCCTCCTCCTCCTCCTCCCCCCAACCCTCCACCACCACCACCACCACCTCTCCCGACTCCCCTCTCCCTCGTCCGTTCCTCATCTCACATCTCCCCCCTCTCCGCCTCCTCGCCCTCCTCCCCCACACCTACCCCTCCGCCTCCCCACCCCTCTTCACCCTCTTCTCCTCCTGGCTCTCCCATGCCCAGATGGCGCGCCTCTGCGCCCAGCTGGACGCCACGTGGCAGCAGCAGAGTGGCCTGGTCGTGCTGTACACGTGGGCAGCGTGGCTTGGCGAGGAGACGCTGGGATGCCTTGGGATTGGTCAGGATCTGAAGCTTGCGGGTGGGGAAGGATGGGGCGGATCGGGGGGAGCAGCAGGCGGAGGAGAAGGAGGAGAAGAAGCATCAGCATCATCATCAGCAACAGCAGCAGCAGCAGCCGTTGCTGCCTCATTGTCATGCTCATGCCAAGACGCACCAGCGGGTGTGGGTGTGAGTGTGGTGGGTGTGGGAGCAGACGTAGGAGGATACTGCAGGGCAGTGTACGAGGGCATGTCTCTGCAGGACGACCTGGCGGTGGAGCAAGGAGATGGACGACCGGGTGTTCCGAGCATCCCTCCATGCGTGCGCCATCTGCTTCTCTGAGAAGCCCGGGACGGAGTGTGTGCGTGCCGCGTGCACACACGCGTTCTGCACGGCGTGCATGAGGGCGTTTGCAGAGGCGCACGTGGCTGAGGGCAATCTGCAGGCGCTCAAGTGCCCTGACACCAAGTGCCGTGCTCCCCTCTCCTACGGTAAGCCTGCCAACAAACTCATCTTCCTTTGCATGAGGGCGTTTGCAGAGGCGCACGTGGCTAAGGGGAATTACAAGCGCTTAAATACCCATACCAAGTGCCGCGCTCAAATGCCCTGATACCAAGTGCCGCGCTCAAATGCCCTGATACCAAGTGCCGCGCTCAAATGCCCTGATACCAAGTGCCGCGCTCTGCTTTCCTACGGTAAGCCTGCCAACAAACATGAGGGCGTTTGCAGAGGTGCACGTGGCTGAGCTGAGGGGAAACTCCAGGCAGTCAAGTGCCCGCCCGGACATCAAGTTCCGTGCTCCCCTCTCCTATGGTGGGTGTGCTAATTGTCACTGCTGCGATCACTGCTGCTCCCTGCCTCTCTCTTCTCGAATGGTCCTTGTATTGATAGATGGGTGATACAGAGGAAGATGCAAACACAAGCAAGCACAAACATACCACACGGTTTTCCTAACTAGCCTCTCTCTTCTCTCTCTCGTTGGGAGCATCGCAACCTTCAGCGCTCCCTAGACGCCATGCCAGACATTGCCTTCTGCCCGCGCTGCACCCACAATCTCCCCCCTCCCTCCTGCTTCCTCGTCCCCATACAGATCTCCTCCGCACCCTACTTCCAGCTGCCCTCTTCTTTCGCTGGGAGCAGCTCACCCTTCAACGATCCCTAGACGCCATGCCAGACATTGCCTTCTGCCCGCGCTGCTCCCAGCCCGCAGTGGAGGACCCATCAGACCACCACGCGCTGTGCCCTCTCCCTGTTTCCCCAAAGCCTATACGTCCTGTCTCCTTGCCCTTAAACCATCCGTTTTGTGCCCTCCCCCGTTCTCCACCTCCCATCCCCTCTTTTGTTCAACAGATCTCCTGCGCACCCTGCTTCCTGCGCCCCTATTTTCTCGTTGGGAGCAACTGACCCTCCAGCGCTCCCTAGACGACATGCCCGACATTGCCTTCTGCCCGCGCTGCTCCCACAATCCCCCCGTCCCCCCTGCTTTCCCATTCCCACACAGATCTTCTGCGCACCCTGCTTCCAGCTGACATATTCTCTCGCTGGGAGCAGCTAACCCTGCAACGATCCCTAGACGCCATGCCAGACATTGCCTTCTGCCCGCGCTGCACTCAGCATTCATATGGTCACCCCCCTTCCTTCCCTTCCCATTATAACAGATCTCCTGCGCACACTCCTCCCTGCTGACCTTTTCTCTCGCTGGGAGCAGCTCACTCTCCAGCGCACCCTAGACGCCATGCCAGACATTGCCTTCTGCCCGCGCTGCTCCCAGCCGGCAGTGGAGGACCCATCAGACCACCACGCGCTGTGCCCCGGGTGCTTCTTCTCCTTCTGCGGGGTGTGCCGCGAGGGGTTTCACCGGGGCAGGAGCTGCATCACTCCGGAGCTAGCTCTTAAGTTGATGAAGGTGAGGGTCCAGTGCAGTGCAGGTACTAGGCGATTTGTGAGAACGGCACAAAGGCCACCACGCGCTGTGCCCCGGGTGCTTCTTCTCCTTCTGCGGGTTGTGCCCCGAGGACTTTCACAGGTGCAGGAGCTGCATCACTCCCGAGCTAGCACTTAAACTGATGAAGGTGAGAGTGCAGGTGCATTAGCGCGTGAACACATTTCTAAGGTTGAGAGCTTTGGGGGTGACTTTCTGCCCGGAGGAGTGAACTCTAGCTGTGCGCGAGCTGTGCAATCAGAAAGTTGTTAAAACTCTTGCCTCCTGCTTTTCTCGTCTCTTTCTTTTCTGTTTCAGCTGCGGAAGCAGGAGCGGGCGCTGGCAGAGGAAGAGCTGAGGAAGCAGAAGGACCTTGAGCAACAAGTACTTAGCCTCAAGTAAGTACTTAGCTCTGAAGTGATCCCTTAGTCTCAAGTGGGTACTTTGTCTCAAGTGGGTACTTTGTCCCAGGTGGGTATTTTGCCTTGTGTACCCTTGGCAAAGGTAAATATAGCCTCTCAAGTCTTCCACACATTTACAAATGTCCGAGCATGATTCTCACACACATTCCACCCCTCTCTCTTAGTTCCCTCAGGCTGTTGGAGGAATCGAGTGTGCCGTGCGTGTCCCGTGTGCAGCACGGGCATCAGCAGGAGCGAGGGGTGTTTCTCACAGGCTAGTGGACTTCTTTCGTACTTCTTCTCGCTGGTTGGTGGAGGAGTCGAGCGTGCCGTGCCCCGTGTGCAGCACGGCCGTCAGCAAGAGCGAGGGGTGCAACAAGATGATCTGCCCCTCCTTGTCATCCCCTCTCTCACTCACCCAAACTCACACTCACGTTCACCCGCACACTGTTCTTGTCCTCTCCCACTCATGGTCAGGCTGGTGGAGGAGTCGAGTGTGCCGTGCCGTGCCCCATGTGCAGCACGGGCCTATGGGTGTCAACAATTCACAGAGGCCGAGATCCCTTTCTTATTCCCATCCCCCTTGCTACTGGTCAGGCTGGTGGAGGAGTCGAGCGTGCCGTGCCCCGTGTGCAGCACGGCCATCAGCAGGAGCGAGGGGTGCAACAAGATGATCTGCCCCACCTGCAACGCCTTCTTCTGCTACCGCTGCCGCGCGCGCATCGACGGTTACGACCACTTCACGTATGTTATTGCTATGTTGCAACTTGTTACCCTGTTACCACGTCACATACATTACCCCATCCCCATCGCCCCACCTGCAACGCTTTCTTCTGCTACCGCTGCCATGAGCGCATCGACGGTTACGACCACTTCACCTATGTTACCACTTTATGTATGTTACCATCTTGTGTATGTTACCATTTCATGTATATTACCACTTTGTGTGAGTTACCACTTCATGTATATTAGCAGGGAGGGCAGCTATGTGCTCTTTGAGGCAGCGGAGATAGAGCATTGGGAGATGCAAGTCACATGCCCTCATTTCCCCCCATTTCCCTTATTTTTCCCTTGCTACCTTGCATCACCAGGGAGGGGAAGTGTGTGCTGTTTGAGGCAGCGGAGATAGAGCTGTGGGAGATGCAGATGGCATACCTTCGTTCACCAGTTGCCAGTTTCCCTTTCTCTCTTTCCCCAATTCTTTCCTTGCAACCTTGCATAACCAGGGAGGGAAAGTGTGTGTTGTTTGAGGCAGCGGAGATAGAGCAGTGGGAGATGCAAGTCACATACCCTCATTTCCCTCCTCTTTGTGCCTTATTTTCCCCTTGCAACCCTGCATGACAGGGAGGGAAAGTGTGTGCTGTTTGAGGCGGCGGAGATAGAGCTGTGGGAGATGCAGGTCGCATACCCTCATGCCCTTCTTTGTCCATTTTTTTTTCCCCTTGCAACCTTGCATCACCAGGGAGGGCAAGTGTGTGCTGTTTGAGGCGGCGGAGATAGAGCTGTGGGAGATGCAGATGGCAGCCATGGCTGGAGCACAGCGCCGCAACCATCGAGCCGCGCCGGCGCCGGCACCGCCCATCGGAGCGGATGGCAGGCCGCTGCTTGCGAGGCGCTGCCCCAATTGCCGTCTATTCAATTATAAGGTTAGCATTTGACAAGGTCGGTTCAGGCTGCAAGGTAGTGTGTTGTCAGCTAGTATAGCTATATAAATGTTGCTGGTGTGATGGTGGTATCATCTTACCCTGTTCCTGTGTGTTTCTTGCAACCCGTTTTTTCTTTGCAGGAGGGGAGGAATAATGACATGCATTGCCGAAATTGCCGTACACGCTTTTGCGGCATGTGCAACCAGATCATGAGAATTGTGTACCATTTTCGACCCAATGGATGTCGCCAACACACTGATGACTAACCAAGTATAGGGATGGACGCATGGGTTAGCAATTGGTTTGGGATCACGATTTAAACGTTGGTTTTTGCATGCATATCATCCTTCTGTAATATATTATTGTATAGAGGCTTCATATTTCAAAACTCCTATTTTTGCCTATTGATTCGAATTTCGACAATGGGCGAAACAGTAGCGCGTACCGCCGTTTTTTTTCGTAGCGGCGGAACAGCTCACATCGCGATTCCGAGCAAAGTCTGACCATCGCTGGACGTCAACTACGCTTCCTGAGCCGACAAACTAAGCGCCTGCGACGTTCTTCGCAAACTGTGTGCGCGCCAACGGCCGGATTTGAGAAGCCCGCGCCCTGCCGACAGGGCCAACATTCAGCCATCCAACGCGGCTCGTGATTCGCGGGGAAAGACTTGGCGGCGCGGTTCGCCAATTTGGTTGAGAGTTTGAGCAACACATTTGGCGCCGAGGAAGAGGGCAAACAAAAAAACGTCCAGGCACAAAGAGGGAGGGGAGGCAAGTGCAGCGGAATAGACCGCTGGTGACAACGGGTTGCCTTGATTCAGCTGGCTGCAAAATGTTGCTGTGCCCAACCGTCCAATACCCCCTCCTGCTCTTCACTCACGTCATCGTGCTCCCTGCACCTGCTTGGCCTCTCGATGAGCTAGGCCTGGACTAGGGGACTCTCAAATTCAAAAATCATCCCGCCTTGAGTCTCGTCCTAGCCGTCTGCGAATGTCGCCTACCTTGATGAACCGTTTCGCGCGTACCGCGTTGCATTGCATCCCCCACGCCGTCCCTCAATATCCGACTGTTCGGCCAACTCCATCCGCTCCCTGCACCTTTCGAATAAAAGCCTTTCCTCGACCGACATTGCGTCTGTTTTCGTCCCAAGCCCTCAAGCCCGCTCACCACACCACCACCGTCCACGGGGAGATTTGAACTTTCTCGTTCAAAACTCCTCCCACTCCGTCTCATATCACCCCGTAACACGTCGTGAGTTGCTCGTCGCCTCCACCCAAGTCAGCACCCAGCTGACTCTGCTCCTTCTTAGCTTTACTATTCAAGCACCCACGGTAACCCTTCCATCCAGCGTTCCTCACGCTACGTTTCGTTTTCCCAAGGTCCATTAAGAAACTACCTGTTGGCAAAAGTACAGTTGACCTAGACCACGTCTCCGCTCAAAATTTGGCTTCGTTGCATTTGAGAATTCTCCAGAGCGAATTGTTTCACTGCCAGCAATGTCGATTTCAAGCCTCCCGAGCAGATCGCGCTCGCACTCGCGGCTATACCACAAGCGATCTCAATTTCTACCAGCAAAGCCTCGCGAGCACGTGACACTCTCCTCGCGGCTCCCTCTCCTAGCCCCTCTCATGGTCTCTCTCCTCCTCCTCACCATCTCTTCACAAGCCACAGTCGCAGCCGCCTTCCCTTACGCCTCCGCCCATGCGCGGTGGTTGCAGGACGTCTCCGCTCCTCCCCCTCCCCCCATTGTCGCTCCTCCGCCTCCCCTTGCCACGGTTTCTCCCCCTCCGCCTGTCGCCGCGGCTTCGACCGCTTCTCCACCGCCGCCCGACTCCTTCTCTCCTCCGCCACCTACCACCTCCCCTCCGCCTCCTACCCTCTCCCCTCCCCCGCCCACTACCTCCCCATCTCCTCCGCTCTCCCCTCCTCCTTCACCTCCTTCGTCCCCCCCTCCCTCACCGCCGCTCCCTCCATCTCCCACCCCCCCTTCTCCCCCACCCTCCCCTCCCCCGACTCCTCCCCCTCCCCCTTCCCCGCCTCCGCCGCCTCCCCCGCTGGGAACCTGCCCCGCACCGTTCACAGTCGGCGCGCGCTGCACCAACTGCACCAAGGCCGGCGGCTGTATCTGCGACTCGTTCGGCGTGTGCCGGCCGACCTGCAGCTACGTGCCAGGCGTCGACTACAAGTCGCCCACGTGGCGGCGCGCGTGCAACACGTGCCCGAGCAAGCGCCTCGGCGTACCGAACGCGCGGTGCGCGTGCGACATCAACGGCAGCCAGCAGTGCGTCGATTTCTGCGCGCTCCCGGAGAACAACAACGGCGTGACGCCGTGCGTGGGGTGCAAGAACGCGACGGGCAACGGGTGCGTGTGCGGGCGCGGGCAGTGCGTCGACGCGTGCAGCACCGCCAACCCCATGTCGGCGCTCGTCAGAGGAGCACCCTGCACCGTCGGATGCTCGTGAGTTGAACTGAGCTCACCCTTACAATCCTCGTCAAATCTCAGCGGACGTTTGTTCAGAATTTTCAGCTTATTCACGGTTCGAGCTTTCTCGCTTTTGTCTCGCTGGCTGTTCGGCGTGGGCAGGGCCAAGGCGGGGAAGGACGGGTGCGTGTGTTCGCCGTCCAAGGGCAAGTGCGTGCCGTTCTGCAACGAGAAGGACGGCTTTAAGTGCTCCAACTCGGAGTCCGGCGAGGGCTACTGCCGCGCGGGGCTCTGCTACGACATCTGCGCCATTGCCAGTGAGTGTTCATTGCCATTGCCTCTTTTGGGCGCCGAAGAGAAGCTGCTCTTCCGCCTAGCAAGAGCCCGGCACCGTTTGCCGCCACACAGCGGGTAATGAACGGGATCAACCAAGCAACGAGGTGAATTACAAAAGAAACGAGCGAATTGTTGCATACGATTTTCCTCGAGCATTCCTCGTGCGTGAAAGCATTTTGAGGTCGAATTCCTTTTCGACTGCGAGTCTCAGCGTCCCCGTTCCCGTCCACTCCCCGTCCCCTTCCTCCCCGACCCCGTCCCCCACAGAGCCCGGCACTGTTTGCCGCACGTGCAACAGGACGAAAGGCGGCTCGTGCGTCTGCGGCTCGTCGGGAAAGTGCGAGCCCGACCTCTCGTGCACGGGCCCGTCTCCCGTTCCGCTTGTTCTTAACTCGTCGAACGCGTACCCGTGCACTTCTTGCTCTAACGCGTATTATTACCCTGTGACTAACGTCAACGTGGTTACGGCGCCGGGGTGTAGATGTGCTGGTAAAGGGAAGTGTGTGGAGCATTGTAACGGGGGATTGGCGGAAGGTGCGGTGTGCAGCGGAGGAGCGGCGTGCGCGGATAACACGAACGGGTGCAGGTGTACGCAAGGGCGGTGTAGACCGTTTTGCGAGTTGCCTACTAACGAGGGAGCTGCTTGCGGGGATATGTTTTCGCAGCAGGGGACGTGCGTTGGTGGGAAGTGCGTGCCGCGGTGTAGCGTGGCGGGAAGCGACGGGCTGCAATGCAGTTACAACTGTACAAGGTAAGCGAGAACGTTACATGCATGGAGGGGGATTGGTTGGGGGGTGAGAGAAAGGTGGAACGAGGGAGTGGGAGTGCGGGGTGGAAGGAGCACAGGAGTGGGTGTGAGGGGTGGGAGGAGTACCGCACAAGAGTCCGTGACCTGAACAATCCCATTCCAGTTTTAGCGGCCTTTTCCTATCATTCATCTATTCCTATCTATCATTCTTCTCATACTCGCTCGTTAGCTCATCATCAATAATCTTGTCTTTGAACTCTATCTCTCTCCCTTTTGTGTGTGTGACTGCAGCCAAGTGTGCTTATGTTCTGCTGGTCAGTGCAAACCGCAGTGTCAACTACCCAGTGCCGAAGGAGGAGAGTGTTTCGACGGGTGTGACAGCGGAGGGCCATGCAGGTGTTACAGAGGGGAGTGTGTCAATAAATGCCAAGTGCCGGCAAATGAGGGTACCAGATGTGTAGACTGCGCCCGTAACCCATACTGCAAGTGCAGAAGAGGGGCATGTGTTAATGAGAGGTGAGGAGGGTGGGTCTGACTAGGAGAGGTGCAGTTTGGCCTAGGGCAGAAATCCTGGCAAATAAAAGGGATCCTGACTTGCTATACTTTCTTCTTAACTCTGAAATGTTATTAACAGCCTGCTCCATGTAACTCTCTTCCTAGTCACCACAATGTGGGTCCAACAAGCAGAGCATTGCCATACATGCTGGAATCGCCATGAATTGCTCATGTGCCTTGTGGCCGCTGCCTCTTTTGCAAGTTTTGTTGCCACACATTCAGCACATCTCCAAACATTGCCCATATTAACTCGTGCATTCTTAGAAACTCAACATCCTAGCCAGCAAGTAGATCATTTTCCCTTTTTATAAAGTATACAGCCAAGACCGTGTGTGTCTTCACATGACTGGGTGTTAATGCTCCAGCATTCTAAGCCGCACCCATTTTTTTATCAATTATTAATACAATGAGTAATTATTTTACAGTGTGTACCATATTTGTAATCAGAACTAAAAAACAAACGGAAAACACCGAAATCATTATCAGAACTAAACCGCGAGCGTCAGAACCTCGGTGTCAGCCCCTGCCCGCCACGAGTCTGCAACTTCGAAATTCCCGCGCGATTCCCCACAGCCTTTCCCTCACACGAGTCTCTCGTCTCGAGTTTGGCTCAAGCTTGCATTCAGACGAGACACACCTCCCAGAACAGCAAATCTCGACTCCGGATCATTTCAGTTTTCAGGTGCTGGTTTCTGTCCCCGGGTCGGCACCTTGCTGACAGTCTTTGACAGATCACTTGTTGTGAATCTTCATATTGGGTTTCATACTATTGTTGTATTTTCTGTCGTCGAACGTAGCACGATTTTGTGATTGGTTGGCTCTATCCTACGCCACCCTAGACTCGAATGTGCAATTAGTCAAGTTTTGGATGGCCTAAAACTCCATCAGCCTTACCCTAAGTCTATCTTACAGTATACGCACAGCTTATCAGGCGTGTTAGAACAATCATATTCGAGACAGCATGTCGTGGATATTCAATCGAGGCGGGACCGGCAACTCTCAGTCGCCAGTCGCATCTCCTGCTACAGCCGCACGATCCCCCACAACTGGGCTAAGGTCACCGATGCCGTCAATTCCTAGGCAATCGAATCCATCGGCAACACCCACGCGACCCGCTCCTGCTACTCTCTCCCCGTTACCTCAATCCCGAGAAGCCGGATCCCCGGTCGCCGCGTCGATTCCCGATCCGCTGACGTCACGCGCGATCCGGCTGGTGTACAAGGATGACCAAGGGGTGTTCCGAATGGATCCCGAAGCCGTCAGCGCGCTGCGGCGACTGCGAGGACCCCTCGGGGTTGTTGCGGTGTGCGGAAGGGCGAGGCAGGGAAAGAGCTTCATACTGAATCAGGTAGAAATGGGGGGTTCGTTTCCGTTGACCGACTTACAAGGAATGTCTCGATTGTCCCTCGCAGGGACGTGAGTGCGCGAATTTATAGCTGCTGCGTTTATGTTTTTTTGCTCAGATTCTCGATATTACTCGCGTATGAGTGCTAGAAACTCTAAAGCAATCGCTCAGCTGTTGAGTCGCAGCAGCGGGTTCGCAGTGAGACTCATGTGCCTGGTCACTGCGTTCCTTCTCATCCGGTCCCCTCTTTCCCTTCGTAACCCTTCCTCCGCAGCTGCTGGGACGCAGCAGTGGGTTCACAGTGGGCCCCACGCACCGGCCGTGCACCAAGGGGCTGTGGATCTGGAGCTCGCCAGTTAAAGTCACAGCTCCGGACGGATCGTCGTACCACCTGCTGCTGCTGGACTCAGAGGGCATTGACGCCTACGATCAGACGGTGAGAGCATTTGGATTGTCGGGATTTAATATAAGGTGACAGATTCTGAGGGATCATGCCACCACCGGCTGCTGCTGCTGCTGCTGCTGCTGCTGCTGCTGCTGACCTCAGAGGGCATCGAGGTGACGACCAGACGGTGAGGTACAGAGCGCGTTCAGGGCGCGTATAGCAATCGGATTTTACCGCTGGTCGTGCTGCTGTCTGAGTTAGCTGAAACGCCACCTCTGCTGTTCCTTCTGTCTCTTTGTGTGCTGTGTGTGTGTGCGCGTCGCGTACCACACGTTCTGAGACGCCTCAAAACATCTTCCCTCTCCACGCTTCTCTTTTTTGTGCCGCGTGTGCAGGGCACGTACAGCACGCATATCTTCTCGCTGGCGGTGCTGCTATCATCGCTGTTCGTGTACAACCAGATGGGCGGCATCGACGAGTCGTCCTAATACTTCTTTCCACCCCATGCCTCTTCTCTTTGTTTCGCGGTCCACAGGGCACGTACAGCACGCAGATCTTCTCGCTGGCGGTGCTGTTGTCGTCCCTGTTCGTGTACAACCAGATGGGCGGCATCGATGAGTCGTCGCTGGACCGCCTGTCCATGGTCACTGAGATGGCCAAGCACATCCAAGTGCGCGCCAACTCCGCCTCTTCTGCTGCACAAGGAGGAGGAGGAGCAGGAGGAGCAGCGGGAGCAGCGGGGTCGTCTTCTACGACGCAGGAGCTGGGGCTGTTCTCTCCGGTGTTCTTCTGGCTGCTGAGAGTAAGTTTCTGTGGTCACAGTAAGGTGAGAGGCATGTCACAGCAGGAGTGGTCGAGTCGTCGAGTCCTCTTTTGCTAGCCGTTCAAACACCATTGCCTCGTCTTCTCACTCTTCCCTCTGCCTCCTCTGGCAGGACTGCTGTTTTGATCTTATGGAGGACGGCCGAATGGTTACCACCCGAGACTTCCTCCTGTCTCTCCTCTTCTCTCTCCGTCCGTGCACACTCCATTGCCTCCGTTCTTCTTTGCCTCCCCTCCTCTCACTCCTGCCCTCTTCGCAGGAGTTTTACTTTAATCATACGGAGGACGACCGCGTGATCACCCTATGGGACTGCCTTCTGCCTCTCTTCACTCTCGCCCTCCCCTCCCCTTTACCTCCCCTCCCCTTTCTTCTTACCCCCACACCACCCTCTCCACAGGACTTTTACTTTGACCTCACGGAGGATGGCCGGGTGATAACCCCGCGGGACTATCTCGAGACGGCGTTGCAGTCCATGGCGGAGGGCTCTGAGTCCGCACGGGCCAAGAACCAGGTGGGGCGTGGTGGGATGTTGTCAGGGGTAGTGAGGCGTGGTGGTGCGTGGTGTGGTGTGCATAGTGGTGTGGGGGGCGTGGCGTGGGGCGTGGGCTGTGCATGCACCTGGAGACGGCGTTGCAGTCCATGGCGGAGGGCTCTGAGTCCGCACGGGCCAAGAACCAGGTGGGGGGTGGTGGGGTGCGGTGGGGCGCAGTGGGGTGTGGTGAGGCGTGGGTTGTGGTACGGAACCTCAGTCTGTTGCTCCGTTGTTGTACTTCCTCCTTCTCTCTCCGAGCACCTGTGCAATATTGCATGGCTTGCACCACGGTTTGGAGTGCTCGACTCTCGCCGTTTGTGTTTCACCTCCCAATGCCAACTCCCGTCTTATTCCTAACTCTTATGGAAGTCACATTGACCTCACTTTCCGACCTTGCCTTACCAACTCCCATGTCATTCCTAACTCCCATCCGAGCCAACTTCTCTGCCCTTTTTCACCCGTGCAGATCCGCGAGTCCATCCGCTTGTTCTTCCCTGACCGTGACTGGTTTTCCCTTAGGCGTGTGCTTACGAAAAGACATCCTCTTCCTTCCCCCTTTTTCCGCGTGTCATCCGTGCAGATCCGCGAGTCCATCCGCTCGCTCTTCCCCGACCGTGATTGCTTCGCTCTCGTTCGCCCCATCAGCAACGAACGCTTGCTGCAGAAGCTCGACCACCTGCCCGTGAGTACTGTGAGGTTTGACATGCTGTGCCTTGCTGTGTGTGTGGCGTCCTTTCCTCTTGTGTTGCTTTGTCCGTACCTCCTAGTACCATTATGTGCTCTCGTGCGCCCCATCAGCAACGAGCGCCTACTGCAGAAGCTCGACCACCTGCCCGTGAGTGCTGTGCGGTTCTATGTGCTGTGCTGTGCTGTGCTATGGGTGTGGTGTCCTTTCCCCTTGTATTGCTTTGTTCCGTACCTCCTAGGCTCCTAATAGCCCTACGAGCTCTCGCGCGCCCCATAAGCAGCGAGCGCCTGCTGCAGAAGCTCGGCCTCCTGCCTGTGAGTGCCGTGCTGTGCTGTGCGGTGCGGTGCTGTGCCATGTGTTTCCCCCTTCTATAGCTTAGTGCTGTACTTAGCTCTGCGTGCTCTCGTTCGCCCCATCAGCAGCGAGCGCCTGCTGCAGAAGATCAACCACCTGCCCGTGAGTTTTTCGAGGTGTGAACCAGAGAGGCCTGTGAGGCCTGTGAGTTCAGTTCTAGCAGGGGTTAGGTGCGTTCACCCACCCAGGCGGTGTATGTAGTGTCAGTCGGTCCTCTCTTCCCGTCCTGTCCTGCAATGCCCCTTACCCATCACCTTCCTACCCACCTCTCCCCGCGTGCAGATGGACCAGCTGCGTCCAGAGTTCAAGCAGGGGTTAGACGCCTTCACCCAGGCCGTGTTTGCGCGCGCTGTCTCCTCACTTTATCTCCTTAACCCTCACTCCTTCCCCTCCCACCTCTCCCCGCGTGCAGATGGACCAGCTCCGTCCAGAGTTCAAGCAGGGGTTAGACGCCTTCACCCAGGCCGTGTTTGCGCGCGCTGTCTCCTCACTTTATCTCCTTAACCCTCACTCCTTCCCCTCCCACCTCTCCCCGCGTGCAGATGGACCAGCTCCGTCCAGAGTTCAAGCAGGGGTTAGACGCCTTCACCCAGGCCGTGTTTGCGCACGCTGTCTCCTCACTTCATCTCCTTAACCCTCACTCCTTCCCCTCCCACCTCTCCCCGCGTGCAGATGGACCAGCTCCGTCCAGAGTTCAAGCAGGGGTTAGATGCCTTCACCCAGGCCGTGTTTGCGCGCGCTGTCTCCTCACTTCATCTCCTTAACCCTCACTCCTTCCCCTCCCACCTCTCCCCGCGTGCAGATGGACCAGCTCCGTCCAGAGTTCAAGCAGGGGTTAGATGCCTTCACCCAGGCGGTGTTTGCGCGCGCTCGCCCGAAGAGGGTGGGCGGCACAGTCATGACGGGGCCAATGCTGGCTGGGCTCACTCAGACGTATATCCAGGCACTCAATAACGGGGCTGTGCCCACCATTCTCAACTCCTGGCTGGTGAGTGAATGTCAAGAGTCTTCTTAACTTACTAAGTACACAGGCAGCTTGAAATCGGTTATTGAGGCGCCTAAAAAATTACCATCCTCAACTCCTGGCTGGTGAGTGAACGTCAAGAGTCCCCTTAACTTACCAATTACACGGGCAGCTTGAAATCGGTTCTTGAGGCGCCTAAAAAATCACCATCCTCAACTCCTGGCTGGTGAGTGAACTTCAAGAGTCCCCTTAACTTACCAATTACACGGGCAGCTTGAAATTGGATCCGGGTATGTGTGTGTGCCTCCTCTCCTCTCTCGGAGAGGATTTGTGAATTTGGGTATCTGTGAATTTTGTGTCTTCTTTTTCCTCGTCGCCTCCTCTTCTCTCTCCACGCCAACCCCGCCTTTGCCGTTCTCTCCTGCTCCCTCACCCCCCGTCTCTCCTCCTCCCTCTTTTCCGTGTGATTATTGATGTTCGCAGAGTGTGGAGGAAACAGAGTGTCGCAGGGCGTTTGAGGCGGCACTTCAAACATATAGCAGAGCATTTGGCAGCCCCGCTTCTGCTGATGAGGTGGGCTTGTTGTTGACATGCCTCTTGCAGTACGCTTTTCTGCTTTTCTTCTGGCACATGTGGTTCTCTTAATCTCAAAAAGTCATTCCAATATGAAATGAGCCGGTTGATGTGCTCCACTGCTGATGCTGTTGCTAACTTGCTCGGTTTCTCACTCTCCTCTTACTCCCTCCTCTCACTCCCTCCTCTCACTCCCTCCTCTCACTCCCTCCTCTCACTCCCTCCCTCACTCCCTCCCCAGGACGACCTGAGGGCTCACCACAGGGCAGCACTGCAAGCAGCAGAGGCGGCTTTCAGGGAGGAGGCGGTGGGGGAGGGGCAGGCCCGACACAAGTACGAGGAGAAGCTCAGGGAGGAGGCTGGGAAGAGGTTCGAGGTGAGGCACAGTGCGGTGGAGTGGGGTGGGGTGGAGTGAGGTGGGATGGGGTGGGATGGAATGGAGTGGCTGGGGGTGGGGGTGGTGTTACTGTCGTAGAGGCAGCAGAGGCTGAAATGCGATGCACACTCCACGTCGATGCTCTGGATGCCGAAGTCAAAGGCCTCTCGTTGTGCCTCGAGCTGGTTTTTGAGAATTCTCAAAAACCAGCTCTGGATGCCAAAGTCAAAGGCCTCTCGTTGTGCCCCACTCTGCCTCGCTGTTCCCATCTGTGTTTGAGCAGGATGTGCTAAAGCGAGTGGCAGCAGAGGCGGAGGTACGGTGCGAGCGGTATCTGGATGCACTAGAGGCTAAAGTCAAGGGGCTCGCCAGGGGGCCTCCCCGGGCGTGCCATTGCTGGCACCATGCGATTGAACTCATTGCTTATGCCTTTCCATGTGTTGTGCCTCGTGCTTCCCCTCTGTGCCGCTCTGTGCCTTGTTGTGCCCCCTGGACCTACCTATTCAGGACATGTTGAAGCGTGTTGCAGCAGAGGCGAAAGTGAGGTGCAAGCGGTCCCTGGATGCACTAGAGGGCAAGGTCAAGAGGCTCGCCAGGGGGGCCTCCACGGGCGTGCCATTGCTGACACCATGCGATTGAACTCATTTCTTATGCCTTTCCATGCGTTCTGCCTTGTGCTTCCCCTCTGTGTCGTACTGTGCCTTGTTGTGCCCCCTGGCCCTATTCAGGATGTGCTAAAGCGGGTGGCAGCAGAGGCAGAAGTGAGGTGCAAGCGGTATCTCGATGCACTAGAGGCCAAGGTCAAGGGGCTCGCCAGGGGGCCTCCGCGGGCGGCGACTGCTGATGTGGTGCGCGCGCTGATTGCTGAGCTGGCGGCGTACGAGTCGTCCATGTCGGGCGCTGCCAAGTGGCGCTGCTTGTCAGCGTTCCTCGTCGCCAGGTCAGCATTGAGTGCGGTGTGGTTGTTGTGGAGTGACTGTCGGGTGGTTGTGATCGTCCCAATGTCATCCGTATCCCCTTTTCCTGCCATTGTTAGCATAATGAAGTTGTGATTTTCGTCATTGTTCTCAAAGCTTACCCCCTTCCCCCTTTCCCATCCCCTCACACACAGTATGCGCGGGCTTGTTTTGGATTCGGCTGAAAAGGAGGTCGCCGAAGCAAGGCAGCAAGCCTCGTCTGCACTCAAGGACAAGCAGGCCGCCGAGGCTCGGGCCTCCGTCGAAGCTGCGGCCGCGGCTCGGGAGGCCGCCGCAGCTGAGGACTGGAAGAAACGGGTGGCGACAGTGGAAGGACAGCTGGCAGCCGCTAATAGGGCGGTTGGAGAAGGGAGGGAGGAGAGGGAGAGGATGAGGAAGGAGATGGAGGAGGGGAGGAGGAGGGCGGATGAGCGAGAGAGGGAGTGTGCGGAGTTGAGAAAGGAGGTGGAGAGAGTGAGGGAGGGAGGGGAGAAGGAGGTGAAGAGAGTGAGTGGGGAGGTTGAGAGAGTGAAGGGGCAGCTTGAGGAGGCGAAGAGGAGGGTGGGAGAGGAGCAAGGGGAGAAGGTGAAGTGGAGGGGTATGTATGAGAAGGAGGTGGGGGAGGGGAAGAGGGAGGTGGAGAAGGTGGTTGGGGAGAGGGAGGGGCTAAGAGGGGAGGTGGAGAGGGAGAAGCAGCGGAGGCAGGCTGAAGTGGCGGCGATTCAGAAGGAGAAGGTGCGATGCTGGGATGGGGGTGGGGTGGCATGGGGTCGGGTGGGGTGGGATGGGGTGGGTTCGGGTGGGGTGGGAATGGGCATTTGGTGATTTCAATTCAGCTGGGCATGCTCCTTGTCTGCTATCCAGTCATGAAACACCCCCGGCCCCCCCATCCCTGGCACTGTTCCACCGATTTTAACACCTTCTTTGTTATGCCCCACCGCAGTATGACATTTGAGGCGCCTCAAAGGCTGCCACACCGATTTGAACACCTTCTTGTTATGCCACATCGCATTATCCTCCTGGCAGGGCGCATTGGAGCAGCAGCTGCGAGCAGAGGCGTCGAAAGCAGCGGCGGAGGCGAGCGAGCTGAAAGTGAAGCTGGAGGTGAGTCGGTGTGCGTGCAAGGGAAGTGGGGTTGAGTGAGGTTGAGAGGGGTGCAGCAGTGATGGTAGAGTGCGTTGGAGCAGCAGTTGAGAGCAGAGGCGTCCAAAGTAGTGGCAGAGGCGAGCGAGCTGAAAGTGAAGCTGGAGGTGAGTCGGTGTGCGTGCAAGGGAAGTGGGGTTGAATGAGGTTGAGAGGGGTGCAGCAGTGATGGTAGAGTGCGTTGGAGCAGCAGTTGAGAGCAGAGGCGTCCAAAGTAGTGGCAGAGGCGAGCGAGCTGAAAGTGAAGCTGGAGGTGAGTCGGTGTGAATGAAGGGGTTGGTGGTTGAGTGCGGTTGAGAGGGTCGGAGAAGGGGATGATGGAGAGGGTAGTGAGTTGCAGGTGAAGCTGGAGGTGATGCGGAACTAGGGGGGAGGGGTTGGATGCGGACAAGAGGGGTGTTGGGGGGGTGAAATTGAGCCAAAGAACAAGCTTATGTTTTTTGAGAATTCTCAAAAAACATAAGTAGGGGGGAGGGGTTGGACGCGGACGAGAGGGGTGTTGGGGGGGTGAAATTGAGCCGAAGAACAAGCTTATGTTTTTTGAGGATTCTCAAAAAACATAAGTAGGGGGGAGGGGTTGGACGCGGACGAGAGGGGTGTTGGAGGGGTGAAATTGAGCCGAAGAACAAGCTGGAGGTGAGCTGGTGGGAAGTGTGACACGTGGCACAGTGAGGGATTTTCGAGTATTCTCAGGCCACCTGATACCACTCTTTCTTCCATATTGGTGCGACTTTTGAGAATTCCCAAAAGTCGCACCAACACACTTGAGGGATTTTCGAGTATTCTCAGGCCACCTGATACCACTCTTTCTTCCCATCTCTCCCATTGCAGTCGCAAGCAGCACGGCTGGCAGCAATGGAAAAGGCTCTGGTGGAGGCAAAGGCGAGAGAGAGGCAGGCTGAGGAGAGCATGAGGGAGGCGAGCAGGACGGCTGGCAGCGCGAGCAAGAGCGTGCAGGTATGGGCTTGTTTGCATGCATATCCCTTTAACAATGGACGAGAGTTGGCAGAAGGAAGCTGAGGAGAGGAGAGCATGAGGGAGGCGAGCAGGACGGCTGGCAGCGCGAGCAAGAGCGTGCAGGTATGGGCTTGTTTGCATGCATATCCCTTTAACAATGGACGAGAGTTGGCAGAAGGAAGCTGAGGAGAGGAGAGCATGAGGGAGGCGAGCAGGACGGCTGGCAGCGCGAGCAAGAGCGTGCAGCAGGTATGGCCGTGTAGACATGCGTATGCCTTTTGAATATGGATGAGAGACACCAGAAGGAGGCTGAGGAGGGCATGAGAGGGGCGAGCAAGAGCGTGCAGTATTGCCTCGTTTGGGATTCACATAAAGTTCATGTGCCAGGTGTTTTTTTTTAGAAATTTGAAACAGAAACGCCATTGTTCATGTGGTATTACCTGATTTGGGCCTTCGTCTGTGCAAGTCTCTGCACGTTAATCCGTGGGCCTCTCTTTGTGCTCCCATCCTTCATCACAACACCTCGCACCTTCCCAACCCCCGCTTTTCCCATGCCACACTGCCGACCAATACCTCAGCAGAGAAAGGAGAGGTATGGGATTCATCCCTTTATCTCTACCCGTTTCTTCCATCTGTCTACTCTTCTTCTCTGTTGCTCCTCACAAACCCTCCCCGCTTCATCTTCCTTAACCCCCGATGCTCCCGGGATGCACAGAAGGCTAAGATCGTAGCAGAAGAAGGAGAGGAAGGGGATGGGACTCATCCTTTTAGATGAGTAGGCCACATTGCTTGCACGGGTGGCCACGCTTCTCTCGTTTCCTTAACCTATCTTCCCTAATGTTTCTCTTTTTCAACCAGGCTGCACGGGAGGCCAAGGCCGCAGCAGAAGAAGCGACAGAGAAGATGGAGCGCCAGCTGCGTCAGGCTGAGTCAGCACGGACCGCTGCTGAGCTGGCAGCCCGGCGCGAGGCTGAGCTGGCACGCCAGGCTTGCATTCGTGCTGACTCAGCAGCAAAAGATCTCCAGATGGCAATGGAGGAGGCCCAGGTGGCACAGTCAGCAGCTGAGGTGGCAGGAAAGAGGGCGGAGGTTGCCGAAAGGAGAGCGAGGGAGCTTGAGAGGGAACTAGAGGGGTTGAGATTGAGGGCAGCAGAAGGGGAGGAGGAGGGGAAGGGGAAGGTGGAAGGTATGGTGAGGGAAATTGAGGAGTTGAAGGGAGAGGTGGGAAGGAGGAAGGAGGAGGTTGGGGAAACGATGGCAATGCTGGCTGTGTGTGAGGTGGAGAGGGAGGGGTGGAGGAGGAAGGAGGGAGAAGCGAGGACTGAGATGGAGCGGCTGAAAGGGGAGTTAGAGCGGTTGAGACAGGTGGTGGAGGGGATGGGGGTGGAGATGGGGGTGGTGAGGAGCGAGAGGGAGGAGATGAAGGGGGTGGTGAGAGTGAGAGAGGAGGAGATTTCGCGGCTAAGGGGGATGCTGGAAGTGGCTATGAGGGGGAATCAGGAGAGGGAGAGGGAGAGGGGGAGAGGGGAGGGGAGGGGGGGTGCTGGGCAGGGCGAGGGAGCGGAGGAGATGGAGGTGGAGGAGGGAGAGGAGGCGGGGAGGAAGAGGAAGAGGGCGAGACTGGGCACGGGTGTTGCTGGTGAAGGCGGGATTGCAGGGGAGGGCGGTGCTGCTGGGGAAGGTGGGACTGGTGGAGAAGAAGGTGCGGCTGAGGCAGGGTTAACTGGTGCAGGTGGTACTGCTGGGGGTGGTGCAGGGGCAGGCGTGGAAGGGGCGGGTGATAGTGCTGTGACAGGCGATGCTGCAGGGACAGCAGCAGGGGGAGAAGGAGGCAAGCGGAGAGGCAGGGGGGCGAGCAAGAGGGCACCTGCTGCTCCTTCCGCTGGCGCTACTGCTGCTGGTGTTGCTGGTGCGTCAGGAGCAGCAGCGCCACCAGTCGGGGCAGCAGCAGCAGCAGGAGGAGGAGGAGTTGTGGTAGCACCGTCACCCGCAGCGTCAGGCAATACAGGGTTTGAGTCAGCCCAGGCAACAGGGCAGGGCAGTGAAATGGATATGGATTCAGCCTCGTTCGGAGGGGTGTTTGGTGCTGGGGAGGGAAAGGAACGAGCTGAGGGGGACGAGGCGGAGAGTAGCAAAGGGGGGAGGGGGAGAGGGAGGGGCAGGAGGGGTGGAGGAGGGAGGAGGGGGAGAGGGAGGCCGGCGGCTGGGGTGGGTGCGGTGACGGCTGCTGATGTGGCGGGGGAGTCTGATGTGGCGAAGAGGCGGAGGGAGATTGCGATGAAGATGACAAAGAGTGAGTTGAAGGACAGGTTGACGGACGAGGGGAGGGGGTTGGATGTGCTTGAAATGAGGACGCCCACAAAGGGGCAGCTGGTAGACTTGTTCGTGAAGTTTGTGCAAGAGTGAGAGTGTGAGGAGTATGGGAAGGTGACGACAAGTGAGCTGAAGGACCGGTTGATGGACGGGGAGGGGGCTGGAGGTGTTGGGTATGAACTGAGGGGTAGCTGGTGCCAGTTTGTGGGTTGTGCAGTGGAGTTGGAGGTGGTATTAGTTTGTTGAGAACGTCAGATTGTTGGTATTAGGTAGTTGGCTGGATGGGCGAGAACGTGTCTGGGTAGAGTACCAGTAGTACATTTTTTTGGGATAGTTGACTCAGCAATATAGGATGATTTTTGGGGGAGGGTTTAGTCTACGCTTTGTGTTTGGTCAGAGTTTGGCGGGAGAAGGTGGTAAACTGGTTGCTGGTGAAGTGGTTACGAGTAATATGGACATACCGGTATAATGCTTGCTGGTAACAAGTTGGGATTAACTTAGTCCATAGATGGCATTGGTGGCAACTGGATTGCAGTGTTATCGCACAACAGCAGGCAAGGAACAGAACAACATAGAAACAATGCACAGCAAATTCAGTTGTACAACGTGTGTCAGTTGACATTCACAATCACAACACTACTACTTCCAGAACTGACATACAGTACTAAGCAAATCTTCTAGCCAAACCAGCCGTGCTTCTTGTGACCTCCCTCGGCCTCCCTCTGCCTCTCCTTGATATCCTCCTCGTCCTCCTTCCTCTCATGCCTTTCATGTGCCGCATACGCTGCAGCACCAGCCGCATTCGCCTCGCCGATGCGCTCGCCACGTTTGTGCCCCTCGTACTCCTTGCGCATCTTCTGTTGTTGCTCAGAGCGTACCGAGAAACGAAAGTGTGTCAAGAGGATAGGAAAGGAAGCGACAACTGATGCTGTATTGACTGTAAAAACACATTTTGCAATAAAAAACTGACAAAAAAAGGAAGGAAGGGAAAATAATAACATTACCTCTTCCTCGGTCAATCGTTCTTCACCACGACCTCCAAGACGTTCCTCGTGTCCCCCGTATCCGCGCTCCCCGTATGCGCGCTCCCCGTGTTCGCGCTCCCCGTAACCTCGCTCCCTGTATCCGCGCTCTCCGTGACGTTCTCCGTACCCGGTTGTGCCTCCACCAGTGGTACCACCGTATCCGGTTGTACCTCCCCCAGCCGTGCCGCCATATCCAGTTGTTCCTCCCCCAGTCATCCCTCCGTAACCCGTCGTTCCGCCATAGCCGGTCGTCTCTTCGCGGGTGCCATGATGACGTCCGCCTAAACCGCCGCTTTCACCACTGGAAAAGGTTCCATAGCCAGTTTCACCACCGTATCCAGTCGGGCCCGTGCCGCCATACTCCGTGCCTCTCTCGCGACCTGTCACACCGGAATATCCCGAGCGTTCGGTAGAGCCTCCGCCGTATCCGGGCGTTTCGCGCTCGTACTCGTGCCCGTGGCGATGCTGCTGGCCGTGGCCACCGTATTCTGGCTCCCCTGCAGCTGTTCCGCGCGAGCCGTATCCGTACTCGCCTTCGCGAGACTCCTCCCGCTTCTTCTCTCCGCCAAAAATTTCCTTGACCTTGTCCATAATCGCGTGGTGCGGGGAACTCGTCAGATGCAGATGCGCGTTTCTCTAGATTCTTGCAGTTAAAATTCAGTAGTTTCCGAAATGATGCGAGACTGCGTGGGTGAGAGATATTTGTGGTGGGTGGGTTGGTCAGTGTGCTGCTGCTGAAATTGTATTCCCGTGCAGATTGCAATTGCATTGGGTGCGACTCGAATAAACATGCGAAGCGACGCGATTCAAATCGAAGCGCGACATTGGCTTTCTCCCAACCCAGCCAGCGCTTGCTGACGCGAGGAAAGTCCCACCACTTCCTCCCTACCCTCCAAGTGGACTAAATTTGCCATTGACACGTCAGGAGGACGAATTATCGACTGGCATGCAATAGCTACACTTTTTAGTAATTGCGGGATTCATCTTGACTAGAGGAGGCATTTAGTATGAAAGCTGAAAAACCGTGACTCCAAAAACACTGCTGTAGAACTGTTGGTGTGGTGCCTGTTAAAGCCAGGATCTCAAGTAAGAGAATTGGCCTTCAATTGCAAAACACTTGCAGCGCTTGTTACCCTATTTTTGTAGGCGAATTGACTGGCTGGTTAGGAAAGTGAGCGTGCGGCACACCCACGATTTTGCCCCTAGAGCAAATGCAAAACATTTTGCTGGTACATGAGATTGTTGTGTGTGACGAGAAATTGCAGGCATTGGAGCTTCGTCACCGAACCAGTTTCCGAGCCTTGCTTGGTTCGGACTGAATTTGCGATTTGTCTTTACTTCGCACCCCTCGCTTCACACCTCGTCAGATTGTTCACCTCGCTAACCAATCGCAGCCCAGCTCCCCTCACCAACTGCAAAACAATTGAACTACTTGAGATCCTGGCTTTAACTAGCGTGATGAACTAGAGTGCAATGTCATTGTTCTGATGGGAATGAATTGCAAATGCCAAATCAAAGTCTGTTTTACACCAACGTAGCAATTCTAGAGTATGTACAAAGAGGTAAACAAGCATGCACCATTTCAATCCTGTTATAGCTACTCCCTCAGTAGTGTGGTTTATAGCACTCTTTTACTACTCAACTCAATACAGGCAAATCCATGTAGTGCAAAGATGGCTGCTTCTCAGCTTTGTCAGCAGTCATGCTCGCTGCTGGGGCTTCTGGTGCTTCACCTCCTGCAAAGAGGCCAACAGGTAAAATCAGCCCCTCGCTTAGTGCCTTCCCCCTTACAAAGCACTGCAAACAAGAAACTCCCATTTTACTGTACCTCATCTGGAATGGCGTGACCTTCCTTCCCAGAAAAAGCGCCAGTGCTGCTCCCTGTTCCTTCTCCACCCTCTGCAGCACCCTTCTCCGGAGAGCGATTTTTGGCCATAGCCTCAACATAGTTCTTCATCTCGCCATACCTAGCAACCTCCTCATCTGGCTCCAGATCCGTATCCCTTACAAGCTCAGCCAGGCTCTTGCTACCTGGCTTTGCAGCGGCTGGGTCCTCCTTTGAAGGCGTAGAAGAAGCACCCACAGGTGCCGAGGTCGCGCGTGGAAGGGGAGTGCCTGCAGCAGGGGTGGGGGCCTTGCTGCTCCTGAGGGACGCTTCATCTCGAGACAGTGTCGACGCTGGTGGTGGCGATTTGGATTCACGGCGGACTTGCTGCTGTGTCTCGTCTGCGTGCCTCGGCTCTTGGGTGTGGGGCTCTTGCATGTTGCCGTTGGATCCAACGGGCCCAGGGACGGAGAAAGGAGACTGCTCAGTCAGAGCTGGGTTCTGTCTCGGGAAGCAGAGAACGGAGGATAACGGAGCTAGTTTTGAACTCGAACGACCTGTTAGGTTACATGTAGATTTTTTTCAGTGCGACGCGGGTCACGCAAGTGCAAGTAACGTGGAAGCGAGGCAATCTAGGTCGAGGTTGCTTGCAGCATCCATCAGGCGCTCAACACGTTGCCGGCGGCTCGAGACACATTGCTTAGCCATGCACAACCCAACCCTGAGGAGTTGGGGACATGAGTCAGCATTCAATTCAGTACACTCCGCGATACACATTCTTACTAAATTAGTGCGATTCATACAGCTAAAATAGGGAAACCTACATAGTAGATTTTTAGCATTTTATTCGGCTCCGGAACAGGGCGTCTAATGTACGATTCTAGGACCTTCTAAACGCGATGTCTAGAACCCTACACCCGTTTCGGCTTGCGCTGCTTGGGGTACGAGATGATAGTACGGCCGTTGATTGGCCTAGGGAGACGGTTGTTGGTGCGCTGACCGCTGGATGCGGCGAGCAGGTTCATGTACCCCTCGATCTGAACAGAACAGAAATCAGTTTCATCAGTTTCACGTGTTTCAGAGGAAGGCTGGTTGGGGCAGATAAATTGGCCCGTGCATCAGGAAGATTCTCGCAACCAAAACTGGAAATTGGTGATGCCGAACCAATGCTAACCAAATGCTCCGGAACTTGGAAAGAGATGTGACAAAATCAATAGTATCGCCTGCGCTCACCTGCTCGACGGAGCCGTAGAGGCCGCGCTTGAGGATGAACCACTCGATGTTGGGCGCGCAGGGCGGGTACGTGGTGGAGCCGCGGTAATACCAGAAGCCGTACTTGACGTTCAACGCCTCCTTGAAGTTGGTCGTTGCGGGCACGGACACTGACGTGTTCACCGCCTTGGGAATGTACGGCAGCCACCTGCGCAGGCGATCAGGGGGGTTTACGGGCGGAGAAGGGCGGGGAAGGACGGGGAAAGGCAGAAGGAAATAGGAAGGTGAGAGGTGGTAGGGGGAGGTGGGGAATAAAGGCATGTGGAATCCCTTTGTCGTTAATGAGACAAAATAAACGTATGTTTTGCTTATGCAGACAGTTTGCGTTGTATTCGGAAAGGGATCTCACTTGTCGAGCCACGGGTTTCGGACGTTGTTCTTGTGAATCACGATCATCACAGAAATGATTGCGCCCTTCGCGGGGTTGGCGACGTTTTCGTGCACGAAGTGCGCCTCGAGCGGCGCGGGCGCGCCGAGGATGGTGTGCTCCGACGAGGCGCGCAGCAGAATGCCGAGCAGACGAAACTTGCCCGTTGACGTGTACATAAAATTCTCCGTACCGGCTTGCGGTTGCACCCCTGGTGGAGACAACAGACAAAAAACGAAAAAATTCGGGCTGACGACGGTTAGACAGAAACAAGACGACGCTGACGGAGCCGCAAATCAGACAAAAGTGGGGTGACCTTTCCTTCTAAAGTCGAGAGCTGTGTGATTGTGCTAGGGTGGGATGGCGTACCTCCTGTGAAGCCGAAGTTAGAAACGGTGAGCGATTTGCTGAGGGCGTAGCTGATGTTGAGGAAGCGCAGGTCCTTGCCTTTCACCGCCATCGACGGCTCGATGTTAATCGGCGATTGCGCGCGAGACGTTTGGCACGCACCCTGTTGACAAGACAAAGAACGCGCAGAGAGGGGGGGAGAGAGGGGGGAGGAAGGGGGGGAGGGGGGAGAGGAGGGAATATGGTGGTGAAAAACGGTGAAGGAACAAAACAGGTGACGGCCGCAAGATGGATGGGTTGATCTCCCGCTGGCGGTTTCGCTGATATGTTTTATCCTTGTAACTCAACAAAACCGATGATTAATCTCCCGCGGAACAACACGAGCTCGTCGCCACGAATGCACCGTGGGCACGCATGTATTGAGACGAGCTCCTTTTTTCCAATACGGATAAATTATAGCTGGCGGGCGGGACAAACGGAAATGCAAAAAAGACAAAACATAATCAGTACAGGGTACTAAGCGCTCGCGGGACGTACCGTCCAGTCCTGGCCACTCTTGACATAGTTCCATGCATGTGCGCTGGATGATAGCGCAAGTAATAGAACGACCAGAAGTGGTCTGCGATCCATGTGAACCTATGCTGGGCTTGACGCTACGTCTATGCACAAACAGGCGTCGACGGTTCTGCTAAGAACAATCTGAAGTGCCAGGGAGCCTAGGCGTATGGCGTAAGCAGAGTGACTGATAAGAATAATCGATTCCTGTGGCTTTTGTGCGAGCACACAAGCACCACTCCACGAGTCGTGACCTGTTTCCCCTGGATGTGTGAAGGATGGTGCTGGAAATCGCGCCTGAAAGGGTGGGCGATTTCCGCCACGAGCTGGAGCAAAGAGCAGAGGCGCAAGCAACGACAGCATTTGATGTGTCGCACGGCAACGCCCTCTTGGTCATGGCGCACCACGTTTTTCGCCCTGGGAGTGTTGTCGTCGTTCACTGTCGCTTTGGAATCCTGAATTGTCGCAGAGAGGGCTGGGGGACAGCAGATGCTGTTGACCGTACACAGTGCCTAATGGAGGGCGGTGATGCTTATGTGTGACCACGACTCGGAGCCGAAGCGCAATCTTGCCACGGTGCGTGTCGGTGCGCGCAAATCATCACACGATCACAACCATTCCGAGGTTCGAGGTCGGCCAACTGCTGACCACGCCGAATTCGGATTGGCGCAAGAAGGCAAACATGCTTAAAAAAGATGAGGCAAAGCAAGTTGGATGCTCTAAGGAATTTTCCTGAATTCCTTAGGGGCTGCTTCGCGTACAACCCGATTTTCGGAGTTCGCACGTTCGGCCGATTTCAACGCTGCCGAGGCTCCTCGCGTCGCCTTCGGCATTTCCATCGCCCAACCTGCACCCAACCTCGCTTGTCCGAGGTTTCCTCCTAGCTAGGCTAGCCCTACATTAGTCTGTGCATTCATTGTATTCGCAGTTGATTCAGTGACAGCCTCGTTATTCGTTTACCTGCGCACTCTCTTTTACAACTCATAACACCTGGCATCAGAGCTACTTTCCTAGTTCACCCCGCTTTTCGAGGGTAGTTTGGTGAGAAAAGTAGAACGAGGATGAATGAACTATGAATGAAGTGAGTACATATGGGAAACCCTAATTGGGTTGTACCCCCTATGGGATACCCCACTATAGCCTACACAACAGCATAAGCTATATATATGTTCTGACACACCCCCATAGGCAAAGTGGGGGAGAACAAGGGGTCACAAGACCAGTCAAGCAAAGCAGAGCAAGCTCAGGGTGGATCACAAAGTCACCACACAGTCCGAGCACAACGACAGGGCAACAGGGCCAGTTCACATGCAGGAGTACACATATATATATAGAGCTAGACAAGCAAGAGCAGGAATATATATGTGACAGTACAAGCAAGGTCAAGAAGAGAGCAAGTGAGGCAAGACAGGTACAAGACCCAGCTGGGTGCAGAAGCGCTGATGGTCACAAGGCGCAAGTGCCTTGGTGAACACATCAGCAGTGTTGGCCTCAGAGGCCACGTACGCAAGTCGCAACTGACCACGCTGCTGCAGCTCACGAGCAAGAAAGTAACGGAGAGCAATGTGCTTCGTTCTGTGCTCCAAGCGCTGCTCTCGACACAAGGCCAGCATGGCCTTGTTGTCTACGTACAACACTGGAGGAGAACGAGGCGGCTCTCCAAGGTCAGTCAGCAGGTAGGTGAGCCAGCGAAGCTCCTGTGCAGCCATGGCCCCGGCGTAGATCTCAGCCTCACAACTGGAGCTGAGAACAGAGGACGAGCGAGTAGCCCGCCACGAGACAGAGCCGGAACCAAGACTGAAGGTGTAACCCTGCGACGACCGCTGTGTAGCCTGGTCGTCTGCCCAAGAAGCGTCCGCGTGCCCAGTGAGGACCACTGGACTCCGCCCTCCAAGCACTAGCCCCATGCCCGACGTACTGCACAAGTAGCGCAACACCCTCTTCGCTGCAGCCATGTGCTCTGGTCGGTGTCTCCCAGGAGCAACATAGCGAGAAAGAATGCTAAGAGGGTATGCAAGGTCAGGTCGTGTGCAGGTCATCAGGTACATGAGGCAGCCAACAAGCTCTGGGTACGGGCCACTCGACTCTACGGACTCATCCGAAGGCAGAGCTGAGAGCGAGTGGCGAGTAGACAGAGGAGTGGCCTGAGGCGAGGAGTACGTGAAGCCGAAGCGCTGAAGGACCTGCTGCACCATGTGTGACTGAGTCAAGGTAATGGTGCGGCGTGCTCTGTCCCGAGTGATCTGCAAGCCAAGGTAGCTGCGCAGTTCACCCAGGTCTGTGCACGTGTGTCTCTTCTGCAGCTCGGACTTCACGTAGGCTAGTCCAGCAGTGTCAGCTGTGGCAAAGACCAAGTCGTCGACGTACACGAGGACGTAGAACGGCGGCAAAGAAGTGTCGGTGCGCAGAAACAACGACGGGTCAGCAGTAGAGGGAGCAAACCCAAGAGCCGCAAGCGTAGTCCTCAGTGTGTCGTGCCACTCACGCGGTGCCTGGCGGAGACCGTAGACTGGCCGTCGGAGGCTCCACTGGGTGCCAGGAGGAAAAGTCCCAGTGAAGCCAGGTGGACGGCGCAGCCAGATCTCCTCGTGCAGGCTACCCTGCAAGAAAGCAGTACTGAAGTCAAGAGAGTGGAGCTCGTAGTCGCGCTGAGCGGCTATGTGCAGCAGCACCCGAAGAGTGGTCATCTTCGGGGTGGGAGAGAAGGTCTGAAAGTAGTCAACTCCCTGCCGCTGACTGAAGCCACGAGCGACGTACCGCGCCTTGAAGACAGGTGGAGAGCCCGGCGGCCGCTTCACCCTGAAGATCCACATGCCACTGACGATGTTCGCCCCAGGAGGGGGAACCGCGTCAACGTAGGTGCCTGTGGACTTCCAGGACGCCATCTCTGCATCCATAGCTGCCTGCCACTGAGAGGAGTAGGGACCCTCTACGGCCTCCGCGTAAGAGCGCGGAGTCGGGATGTCTAGTGCATCCGGGTCTCCCTCAGGGGCAAGTAGTACGGACGCGAGATGAGGTGAAGCAGCAGCCAGACACCTGAACTCCTCCTGCCTGTCCTCAAGGACGTCCGTGCCAAGAGCACACTCACCCCCGACGGACGGAGGACAGACAGACGCAGACTCAGCAACAAGACCGGCAGCGTAGTCTAGACGACAGCGAGCAGCAAAGTCGACGAGCTCAGCAACAAGCGCAGACGCAGCAGTGGACTCAAAAGAGGGGTCAGTGACGACAGTAGCAAGGAGACGTGTGACAGCAGGACTGGCAGCACGAAGAGAGTCCGACTCCGGGTCAGGAAGAGCAGGAAGAGAGGACTCAGGAGGAGAAGGCAAAGGGGCACGCAGAGGAGCAGTGGACGGACGCAGAGACATCCGGTGCGTGCCAGGGACAGGAGGAGGACGCTGACGCGAACCACGACCACTAGTGCGAGCAGCACGGACAGGCGACGCAGGGCGAGACGCAGGCTCACGACGCTCAGCAAGACCTCCAGTAGGACCAGTGTAGGGAGAAGGAGCGGGCAGTGGGGAGGCCGGCTGTAACTGTAACTGTGACAGGACAGGCTGTGGACACTCTAAGGGAGGAGGAGGACCAGTAGAAGGCGGGAGACCAAGAACCTGCTGAAGGAGCGGAACGAAGTACGGTCTAGGCCGCGCGGCGACTCCAGACACAGCAGGGACAGCACCAGTACCCCCAGCGGCAGCACCAGCGCCAGCAGCACCTCCAGCTCCAGGACCTCCAGCAGCACCAGTAGCACCCCCAGCAGGACCGCCTCCAGGACCGACAGCAGTAGCCTCAGCGCCAACGCCCTCAGCAGCTCCAGCTCCAGCACCTCCGGGACCCGCGGCACCAGCACCCTCAGCAGCCGAAGAACCTCCAGCTCCAGCAGCACGCCTCCAGCGCCGGGCAAACCACTCGCGCAGCTCCTGTGGAGAGAGGGGCTCCCGCCGAGGCGAAGCACCCGGAGAACCGCCAGGTCCCGCACCGCCAGACGCCACAAGGGGAGGTCCAGTGGCCGCAGGCTCCGCAGCTCCAGGCTCAGCACCTCCAGACGCAGCACCCCCTGGCTCAGCACCCCCAGTAGCAGCACCCCACGGCTCAGCACCCCCAGACTCCGCACCCCCAGGCTCAGCACCCCCAGTCGCAGCACCCCCAGGCTCAGCACTCCCAGACTCCGCACCCCCAGGCTCAGCACCCCCAGTCGCAGTACCCCCAGGCTCAGCACCCCCAGACTCAGCACCCCCAGCAGGACCAGAGTCACCAGCAACCTCGACCGGCTCGACTGCGTCTACCTGGGACACACCTGAAGGGGCAGGACCCTGAGGGGGAAGGGGGTCTACCGGGGGGGGACCTGGCACAAGGAAGTGCGGTGGCGGGGGGAGGGAAGGAGTGCGGTAGGGGAAGAGGCGGTAGAAGGGGACTGACTCGTCGAACGTGACGTCCTGGGAGGACAGAACACGACGAGAGGAGGGGTGGTAGAACTGCCACCCTGGAGCGTCAGGGGGGAAGCCGAGGAAGACACAGGGAGCAGCACGAGGGGACAGCTTGTCCGCAGACAAGTCGCGGACAAACGCCCGAGATCCCCAGACACGGAACGCAGACGCATCGCCGACCTTCCCCGTCCACAGCAGAGCTGGGGAGGTCTCCGGCCGGGAGACCCTGGGGTGAAGGTTGATCTGATGCGCCGCGTACCGAACCGCAAACGGCCACAGAAAATGGGGGGCAGCCGCATGCATCATGGACGTACGAGCGACGTCCATGACCATGCCAATGCGGCGCTCAGCAATCCCATTTTGCTGTGGAGAGTCCGGAAGCGTAAAGGTCTGGCGGATGCCTCGTGCACGACAGTAGGCTCGCAGAAGGCCAGAGGAGAACTCTCCACCTCGGTCAGAGTGCAGACGCAGAACAGGAAAGTCCGAGCCGAAGCTCCTCCTGAGCTGGAGACGAGCTGCGCGGATCCAGTCGATCAACACCTCAGTGACATCACCCTTGCTGCGCAAGGGGAAGACTGTGGTGTAGCGCGAGTAGTCGTCAACCACCAGCAGGAAGTAGCGCTCGTGACCCTGCCCACGGACGCGGGC